TTTAAAACTGATACATTTAATGATCTTTGTTCTGATTGGCTGTCCTGTACTGTACCATTCAAAAAGGAGTCCGGGTTGAAACACTCCTTACAACTTCAGCATGAATGAGTGTGGCTAAACTGCTGTAGGCTGTGTTGGCAGATATAGGTACATGTGCCATTTTTTACCAACATCACAAAAAATGAGCTTAGTTTCTGTACATGGCTGTAGACTGTAGGGACTGAAGAGTGAATGGTACGTTTTGAAACTATAGCAATGTGTACTTGGTACGCTAGTGTTGTAATCAAGACTGCTAGCTCTGAGTCTGAGTCAAGACCGAGACTGAGACACGCTGAGCCCGAGTCAAGACCAAGACTTTTAATGGTCGAGTCCGAGTCAAGACCGAGACCGGGAGTGGCCAAGACCAAGACAAGGCCAAGACCTCTTTTTTTTTTCAGAAAAAAAAAGAAGTTCATTTGTAGTTAATTGTACATTTATTATCATTTACTAACATTATATTATGTTATATTATATGTGATATTATGTAACATAAAATAAATAGCCTAAAACTACATTGTCCGTAACACCATAATTACAGTAAAAATGACTGCTGAAAAGAGAAGTTAATGAACTACAATGAATGATTTATTTTCTATCAACAAATTTGTTAACAATGTAATAAGGACAGTGAACTACAGTTGTCAGTATTATTATTCTTCTAATGCTAGTGATATTTTCTGACAAGGAGTTCCACCTAAAATGGTGCCTGAGTGCCTCAGTGGCCTGAGACACCAGAATGAAACAGCTAAACAGGAAAATTTGAACAAGAAGCTAGTGAGTAGATATAGATAACTTATTAAATGATCAACTTGTTCATAATTCAATGACTGAGATGTAAACAAAGTCATTCAGAGTGGGTTGATGTGAAACCATCCACTGAGAAACTTGCTGATTTGGATTTCTTCAAAGTTGATAGGAACCAGGGGTCACAATGTCTACAACACGAATATAGGCATTTTATTTATTATCCAAATCAACTTGTGAACCTACACGTCTTTAGTTTTTAGATGTGAGGTTGATGATGCTAAAATTGTGCTAAATCTAAAAAATAAGCTTTCTTTGGGGCCTATTTTGCCTTATAACCACTGCATGTACCCCTTCACCGTGAATGGATATTAAAATATACATTTTAGGACAGAATCTTACCTTAAAACTATAGTAAAACAATGTTTCAGGCATCATCCAACTAATTCATAAGTACTTTGTGTATTTATTTTCTGTGAGAGAGCCTTTAGAGGCATTAAATTCCTCAGACGTCTGGTTCCTATCACCACCATAGTGAACAATTCTGATTAGCTAAGTATATTTAGAATAGCACGTTTCACCTCAAACCACTCTGAATGACTAGATCTTAACCATTTAATTACACCGAAATGTTTTTAAAAATTGAGAGAATTCCCCTTTAAATGCCTCTAATCACTAAACTGCATTATATTTAAACATGATATTGTATGTTATATTTATAAAATAGCACACTTTTCTGGTGAAGATGCTGTACAAAATACAGCAGGTTTATAATAACCGCCACAGGCAAAATAAGCATAGGCAGTCCATTTCTTACTCACTCTCAGTAATGAAAAATGGCAGCTGATATTAACCTCACTTTAATGAAGTGAGAAGACAGAAGCCATTTTTCTCTCTTTCTATATGCGTTAGGCGCTTTGCTTGTCATCTTATTGAGAATCTAAAGGATATTGCATTCAGTGCTGGCTTGAATCGCCACAACAGCTTATTTTCAGGCCTACTTCTTGGCACTGAGTGCTCCCACTGATTTGTATGTGTACAGCGTCTTTGTAATTTACATCATGTTTTTCAGACTTGGCAGAACTTACCTCAGTGCTTTCGGTAATGACAGTTTTGGAACATGTAAAATGGGAATCAGCTGTGTAGGCACGGTCCAAAACTCGGCTTAAATGAACAGTGACCTCCAGGTGCTTTTATTGTGACCATACTGTAGCATGACTTTAATCATTTAGCCTTGAATTGTCATGTTATTTGACAGATACTGAGACATACAGGAACACATAAAAAGTGTTCCTGCCGTCCCTGGAGAGCTAACTGTGTGCAATGTGATGCAGCATTTAACTAGGTGCATTTAACAGATACATCACAGGAGAAATGTTTTAGGGCAGCCATAAAAACACACAGAGCTCAACTGACAAGCATCATCTGGATTGTCCGTCATGCTGTCAAATTAGCTATTAGGTTAATTATAGCGCAACTGAAAGTCACATTGTATCGATGGGCCAGAGCATGTGCAAGAAGGCAGCTAGCGCAAAGCAGACAGGCAGCCGAAACAAAAGGAAACCATTTATTGGATTCACGTGTGGAGCCTGAAAAACTGTCAAGTTTGTTCTTGATTACAAACGTGTCCAGCAAAGCGCACACCACAATTTCAAAAGGGGTACAATTTCAGCAGAGCACGGACAAAGTGGGTTTCATAGAAGTGTGTTATCTCTCATCATGAAGTGATGGACTTCTGATGCTATCTTAAAGCAATGCAGCGTTCTTTTGTGGTTTTAACATAGGCCATAGACATTACTCTGGGCAAAGCTTTCTGTCAGCACGGCAAAGGGGTGAGCAATATGAGGATATGTACCATTATTGTGAAAGATTATGTCACATAAGGTCTCAATAGGCGTTATTCACTCATATCTTACGTTTTTTCATAAATTTGTTCTTGAGAAATGTCCTAAGAAAAAGTCTTTCAAAAATTCTTTTCTGAGCACGTTGTGATTTGGCGACATCTCTGGTGGAAATGTGTAATTGCATGCATCATGTAGCGAAACATTTTGCAGTTTGTGCTTCGAACCCCTCAAGCTAGGCCACCACCGCTAGATTTTTAGCCTGATTTTAACCACGATTTGCCCTTATCTGACAAATTTTCATAATCTGGAGCTATTTGCCAGGTCAGGATTTGGGTCGGAAGTGACTTGCTGCGGACAATCTGGTCGCACCAGAAGGGAAACGAGTCACCCTTTAGCTTTCTTATTTAGCTTTGGAGTAATCGAAGGGGCAGACATTTTCAAACATGTTTGATTTTTTACAACTTCCAAGTCCTGTAATGTGAGATGGTTAGCGACATTACTCAAAGAGTGATACAGGCAACAGCCAATGAGAGAGCTAGAAGAGTGGAGAAAAAAGGGGAAGAGATGTGTATGCACGTTGCACGTGCAGCAGATGATGGAGATGCAGAAGCTCCTTTATCATGTTTACAATGTGTGGATCCAGACATCAAGTCACTCTCTTTACAATTTCAATTCAACTGCCACTTTGTCATGAAATATTTCTCTACCTCTCACTGTGATGTCTGCGTTTCTCACCTCATATTCATCTTGCTATGCATAAAAGCACGAGCCTGTCTGGTTTAGCTTTGTTTGTATCACATGATAATGGCAAGATCTGGGATTTTGAGTGCCTTTTTGTAGCCAGAACTCTTTATGTATGTGATACCTTCGTCTAGTGTGCACACCCTCCCAACAAAAAGACAAGAAATTGCGTAAAAAACTGATGTCAAGTTTGTGAAGCTCACTGTCATGAAGGGTACACCTAGTTTTACTCCAGCAGATGAATCTGATGATTGTGAATGCTTTCAGAAGAGATTTCAAAGAGGACTCAGTCAAAACCTGGTAAACGGCAGGTGTTTTGAGGATGTAAGTGAATTACTTGCTGCTTCCATATCTTCATCAGTATATGTTGATTTTGTATCTTAACACTAAGCTGGCCCTTCTTTTTTAGCCAGTGTGATTGATGTTAATACATAAAGATGTATGACGTGGTCTGAAAAACTCTAGCGAAAGCCAACTCTGCACCTTTAACTTTTACCTATTGTTTCAGGCTTTACAGGGTGACTTGCAGCAGCACATGCACACCATGTTTTAGAGTGTTTATTCCTCCTGACTCAGTAAAGCAAACTTACATTTACAGAACACTGACCAACTTCGTCACAAAGACATTATAATTAATGCTGTTTAACTGGATTTAAAGCAGTTTAGAATGTGAAATGTTGAACAAAAATCATTGTATTCATAGTTTTTGATAGTATTTTTTAAATGTGGCATTACTGGTTCTCTTTTTTGTCTGTTACAACTTATCAGAAAAACGGAATATCGTGATACATATCGTGCCACAGCAAAGTCTTGAGGTATTGTGATGGTACTCCATATCACCCACCCCTACCACTGGACTTACTCCTGCTCAACATGATGTCTTTACTGCACAGATTTGGCCAGATTACCACATTGACAAAGTAAAAAAGCCATAAGGCCTACATAATCCAAACGTAGTTTTAAAATTTTAAATTTTTTCCATGCTGGCTTAGTTGTGTGATTGTAGCACATTTTGAAGACAGTGTTGCTTTGGTGAGTTCAGATTTCTCTCACAGTGGAATCGTCCTGGAGGCATCTACAATAATCACAATGACAAACATGACTTACCAGAACTAGAATATTGAAGGCAAAAACAAAGACTGCACACTTTTTTTTGAAGCCTGAAAGTTTCATGGGGCAGTCGAGACACGGTCATCATTCTCTTACAGTCTGAGCATCTACACTACAGTGTCCAACAGCTGCAACAGAGACGTTACCCATGCATCTCCTGGACCTGTGAGCGATTCCCAAGAGCTCTCACGCTTTCCTTGGAACGTCTCCAGCCTGGAGTGGATACAGTACCTTCGAGGTTCTCTCATGATTGCGGTGTTGTTCGCCAGCGTCCAGAATTTTCCACATTTCGGTGATCAAAGTGATGGAATGCATTAGAAACTAATCAACTGGCAGAGACCAGGTCCAGGTGCAACACATGAGTGAAGGTTCTTTTCTTTGGGTGGCTGACATTTTATGTTGCTGGCGTGATCTCCATCCACTCCAGCTCTGTTAATGAATCGTGAAATAGTTTCTCTAATATGGACAGCAATAAAACACATATAAAAATGGAACAGTTTAAAGTCTTGGCCAGGTCCTCCTCCTCTGCGAACCCATTCAGTTGCATTCCTCGCAGCTGCACGCGAGGATGTAGCGGTAGGTAGCAGTTATTCGGGTCCCGCCAGAGCAGCGTAGGCGCACCGCTTTCAGTTTGGAGGTGTGCGGGCGGCAACAAAAGCATGTGCTTTTAAACGGCTGCTTGAGGACGGAGCTGAAGGAGATGAGAGGGTCTGAGCGGGAAGTGTGGCTGCAGTGACCCTCACAGCGAGCCAGGAGGACCATCTGTGGAGCAGAGGAGAACGCTGAATTACAGGATAATAAACTTGCATGCAATAAAAGCTACAGTATAAAATTTTACAGACCCGCATACCTGGAGAGAGGGCAACCTGTTTTGTGTTTACATGCAAAGAAAACCCAAACAAGTTAACACTTTACAAATGTTCATTTTAATGAGGCCACATCTACATGTTTACTGTATTTTAGTTTTTTTCCTGTACATTTTTGTCTGTATGTTTGTTTGTTGTCAACATAAATGTTTACATGACCATTTTTTCAACTTTATATGAAGGTTATAAAGCACTGCCTCATTCAAAAAACAGTCCAGGCTAAAACATATGGAGCAAACTGCTAAGTTCAAACTGAAATCTTCAGGAGTGTCAAATAAAGAACACATCTACTCCTTTCAGATGCTTGGAAAGCCGTAATGATCCATTTGCTTCCTGACAGCCGGGAACAGAACAACGTTTAATCATTTTCCCCCACATTTGTCTGCAGTAACAACACTCTTCAATGAACTGATGCACCTGAACTGATGTAGGCTGAATGGACATATCAACATTGTCCTATGTAACTTTTGATATAACTGTAAAACAAAATGGTCAATACCTGTTTTTTTGAAAGATAAAAAAGTTAGCAAGGTTATGCAAAAAAAAGCATATATATGCTGTATTTTAACACTACTATTGTTATTTCAAAGAAGTAGAATGTAAATTCACAGAAACAAATGATCACCTATATTTCACAGACATTTGCCTTTATTTTACAGGTTGTCACTGTGGTAAAATACTGCATGTTTAGTAGTTGAACTACTAAATGTTTCAGTAGTTGAACTAGTAAAACTGTTGGATTACAGTAAAAGGCAGTATTTGTAAGAAATTAAATCCCTGTAATTTTACAGATTTTTACCATTATTGAGAAAACATACTTTTATTGTTAAAAAACAGGTTTTGTCTCACACTTTTTGCATTTTTTACAGTGTCTGTTAATCTAATAAGATTTTATTCATAAGCAAATGTTTTCACAGTTGTGACATCACAACCATAGAGGATGAAAAAGTAGATGATTTAGCAGTTTATTGGCTGCATCGACTAGGGAGCAAGCAGTGCAGCAGTGTTCACATAGCACATCAAAAACCACATCGAACTGTGGGTGTTGGTTTAAGCTCACCCACACATTATGATATCTCAAAATGTGTGAGAAATCCAGGTTTAGACCTTTCAAACAACATAAACAGTATAAGGCGGGCTTATTGAGTCTACTTAAAGTCTACATAGCGGCCTGGAATGGGACAGTGTGAGCTGTGCGCTGTGCCTCGTTTGAACCTTCCCTCAGGACAGGGGTGAGATAAGCTACTACAGAGGGTACACAGCCGTGAACAAAGCATGGTTCTGTACTCTCTGCACGACCTTGCACCTGCACCGAGACGGGAGTGTGGCTGATCTCTCCCAGGGCCACGTGCTGAAGCTATACCACCAACTAGCTCTCCCACCCGCTCTCCCCCATTTGAGCAACATAATTCTGTGACATTGATTTGTGGACGTCAGTGTTAAAAATAGTAGAATCGCAAAGGTTTACATTCATCGTAGTACATTTATGGGGGTCAGTGCACCACCTGGGCTGCGTTATTAGCGTTGTGGTCGATAACAATCAAACCACCCACAGCAGTCCTTTGAAAGCCGCTGTCCTTCGCGAGAATTCTCTCATAATTAAAGGTTAATGAGTGATGTGATGATGTATTAAAACGGACTAGTCAGCTCGACCGAATGACTCACGCAGAGTGATGGACGCAAACATGACTCAGTCCACCAGTCTAGTGATTCTGAATAAAAGGTGACTAGCGCCAGGCTTCGAGCCTCACATTCCTGCCATGCTCCGTAAACGGACTCCCGTGTCATGGTGTCTGTCAGCTGTCTAGTGTCCGCCGAGTGTCACCCCCACCATCGGGGACAATAGCCTGTTTGAAGCCAAAAGCCTCCGGCAGAGCGTTGTGAGAAGTCAAGCTTGAGCCAACATTTATTAAGGGCCTCAGAGTACAAGTGCTGATCTAGGATCAGGTTCCATCTGTACATTTAACTACATTCATTATGCTGCAAATGACGAGAACAGATCCTAAATCAGCTTTGATAATATAGGCCCCAGGGCACTCCACAGAGAACAGCTGTTAGGAGTATGAAAGGTGGGATGATGTTATTACACATCACTTCTCTCCTCAACTGTGAACATTTACAAGTAACGATGGAAAAAAGTACTTAAGCCCTTTATCCAAGCTGAGGTAAAATATACTGAAATAATGGCCAGCACCTCGGTACTAAATGAATGCTCATATGTGCATTCCTTGCTTCTTTTTGCAGATAAAACCACACTGGCATTTTACTTGAAATTTTGAAAAAGCCAGATCTTTTCCAAGAGAAAATAACATACAATGTTGTGCAATAGAGACCACCCTTTATTCATTTCATTCCCAGTCAAAACAGCCATTAAAAACAAGTTATTCATTTTTCAGCATCAGGAAAAAGCAAAACACATATATGTAACAGAAAATTACACAGAACCCTCACCAATAAATATAATGTCACATTTTCAGTATTTTGTGTCCACACTTTGTCTTTATTACAGCTTCCCTTCTTTTCAGGAGACTTGCTCTTAGTTTGCAATGAAATTTGCCAGGATATTTTTCAACACCTTTAAAGTTCAGTCATAGAAGTTGGTTTGATTTTTTCTGTTTCTCACAGTCCAAGTAATCCAAACACATTCAGTGATGCTGAGCTCTGGACTCTGGGGTTTTCAGACCATTGTTCTGAGAACACTAACATCTTTTTTGTTTAGTTTACAAATTTTATTCTTATTTCTTTTTCTCAGGAACAGCCGTTTGGCAGCTACACATCCTTTCAGACTCATAGTGTTGAGTTGTCTTCTCACACTGGAAGGATGGACAGAAACACCTGTGGATTTTTTCAGATCTGAAGCAAAAGTGGAGTTTGATTTTCTCCTCTCTCTCATAGATGAAAGCGTTAAGTACTGTTTATCTAATGGTGACAGTTATGGTGGTCTACCAGGTCTTGCATGGTTGTTAGGAGTCCCATTTTCTCTGCATGTTTTAAGAATTTTTGAACTACAGTTTTTTTTCACTTTGATTTGATTTTTCTCTTTCTTATGCAAGTGGATTATCATTATCGAATATACTCGAAAAAAAAAAAACTACAAAATAAATAACTTGTACTTAATGTGTGTTTTGAGTGGAAATGAAATAAATTAAGGGTGGCCTCTGGCTTTTGGACAGTAATGGACTGTAATTTTTACTCCTTACATTTTTATCTGTACATATATATAATGCTTGTTACAGATTTCAAAGCTCATGAGATGTGAGTTCCCACATGTTTAATTTATTTCAAATGCATATCAGTGTAAGATGAAACTGTTTAGAACTAGACTAATTCATCTTTGTGCAAAGACTAGTACCACCCATTACTCACCACACTACACACAGAGTTTGCTGAAGATTTGATTCTTAATTTTGTGTATTTAACCATTTACTTTTTTATTTTTAAACTTTAATTCATACTTAATATGTATGTTGAAATGTATAATTTATATGTATGTTTAAATGCCTGTACTTTCTAACTTTCACTCAAGTATTTTTTGGCTCCATTCTTCCATGTTCAAATGAGTAAGAGTTTAACGCAGTATGCATACTTTCACTTACATACAGTTTCTTTGTAGTTACTAATGCATGCAGTAAGATGGCTCTGATAAGGGAATAATTAACTGTTCAAACTGTTCACTGCTGTTGCAACTTTTAGGTATTTTCATGTTTTAACCAGAGTATAACTTTGATGTGTTTCATTTCATAAACAATTTGATTACACTGTGAAAAAAGTCTGCAAACTAATCCTTAAAGCATTTAGCATCCCAGTCCAAATTGTTCCACATAGTTTATTATTAATTTGAAAAGAATGTGCAGTGAAATTAATGTGATTGTTCCGTTTGATGTTAACAAAAATCTGGCCCTTTCTAAAAGAGTCATAGATTAGAAAACATGTGGAGCAAGAAAGTGCTTTTTCCTTCTCAAAATATAGAGAGAAATGAAAAGTCCCAAAATAAATACTCATAAAAAAGTATGTGTGTTCCAAGGAACATTTACATGCAGCAGTTGAATAGATGTACTTTGTTAGTGCACTACTGAATGCAGCTGACAGATATGGGGGCCGTGGGAGGTGCTTTTGAGGCGTGTGGCCAGCGGAAGATGGAGATGGAAGAGAACAGGGCCAGGTGACAACAGCTGGGCAGCAGATGTAGGTTCTCCAGCACCCACTTTCCGTTCTCTGTATTTATAGCAAGAGTGATTGCGCAGGTGGATCCTATGCAGCACTGCTGAAATTTGCAATGGAAGCCACAGTCATGCCCATAGCTGATGCAGTGCGTAATAGGCTGCTTTAAAGCTGTGACTAAGTCAAGCTTGATCCCTCAAGCTCATAAAAATAAAGGTTCCTAAACTCGCTTACACGTACGGTTCTAGTGAAAAACGTACATTATGTGATGATTCTTCAAACTTAAAAAGGTTCTTCACACTTGCACATCTCATTTACAACAGTTCTCTAGAGAACCATCCATTGAAAGGTTCTTTAGGGAGTCACAAGTGGCTCTTCTGTGGCATTGCTCCAATGAACACTTTCTGCACCTTAATTTTTAAGAGTGCAGGACATGGGGCCTGTGACCTCGGGTGTCAAATAATAAACCTTTTGAGGGATTGTAAAACGCTCTGGGATGGGGGGTCTGGTACTCGATATGACCTGTTCTGGCCATAAACCTTCCCTTCACCTACAGTTCACAGAAGGCAAAAAGGCCTGCAAGTTCATGCCCCAGCTGAATGAGGGATAAGCGAAAGCCGTTTAGAGCTGTAACTGTCACAATTAGTTTCAGCACAGCTCTCAAATGGTCTCACGGGACCAGCTGCCCTGTTTGAATGCCTGAGCGCGGGAGTCATTTATAACCCAGCACGGACGTCTACCTGTCCTCAGTGCACTGCGTGTCATATCAGCATAGCTCTGTTTGTCTCGTAATTGAAACAGATATGGCAGCAGCGCAGCATGCGTAATCCTCGAGGAACGGAATGGAACTATTTAGTGATATCATAGGTTTCTGCCAACCCCCCATCAGTTTATAGAACGCTGGAAAAAAGTCTGCCTTTGTGAAGCTCCTCTATCTGCTGACACGTCTCAGCTGGGCTTATAAGAGTTCGAGCCTGGGACGAGCAGAAGCACAGCTGTCATGCTAAAGCTAGAGCTTGGACTGTCCCCGCAGTCCCTGAGACCACAGGTGAACCAGAGTCTACTCGTCTGGCTCGGTAAGTCTGGCAGAGGTAGGCTGCTGCACGCTGTTGTTTGGATGACAAAAGAAATGATTCAGCCACAGCTCTATGCAGTGCTCTGGACCCGTGCCATCGTGCAGACATTTTATGCACCCTGTGGGGGCTTATTTCTGGCTAGGCTCTGGGCCTCACAGGCTGCCTGAATGCAGCGTTCCCTGCCAAGGTGTCAAAGTAACCACGGTAGAGTTCACGAGAAAAGAGCACGAGGGCATGTTGACCATAGTATCTGATTTAATAAACGAAATGGACTCGATTCCTCGACTGCGGATTCTAATTAGGATGAGATCCTCGGGGTTGATATTTGAATATAAAACCTTTCCCGGTGCCTGGAGACTCGCTGTGTTTCCTTAAACGTCTTGTTAGCAGGAACAGTGTGGGTGTAGAGAGCGGATTGCATTACAGCAGGGTCTAACCAGTGGGACCATTACTGGAACTCAATAAGCAACAAAGGAGCTTTAGGTTAACCTGCTCTTGATCAGCATGTGCCTCTTGGTTGGATGCTAATAGGCAAAATGCACCAGTGTGAAAGAGAGAAAGGGTCACCTCTATCCTGGCATGAATGCCAGAACAGATTCCCAAGCGGCACTTACTAAAATGGTCTCCTATTCTTTATCACCCCTTTCCCACATGGTCACTGTGGGTATCTCCTGAATGTATCTACATTCACTCAAAACAGAAACAGGTTCAACTAGAAGCTCGTACCTTGGAATTGCATTTGTAGATGGGATGCGTGATGGTCTCGACGAAATGGTGTCTCATACACCTGTCTGGATCCGTGTCTCCAAGGTGTCCACTCTCAGCCTTACAGGTAACTCCTTGCAGAATGTTCAGCAGTGGACACGTGACCAGTAGCAGAACAATCCCGGGCTGGCTTAGTGGGCCCGTGCTCTTCATACTGGCCCCTTGGTGCGAATGCAAAAGCCCCAGCAGAAAAACAGAGACAAATAATGCCTATCCTACTATAGAGGAAAGTGCCCAGGTTCTGGTACCACGCTGGTCAAGCGGAATGTGTGGTGGCTTTGCCATCTCCTGTACCTTCTGCCTGTGTGGTCCTTTCTGCAGGTAAAGAAAAAGAAGAAGGAGTTAGTCTACCATGGTGCAAGTTACAGAAACGCTCTTCCAGCCGAGGAAAGAATATCAGGTAATGTCTTGTCTATCAGGTTAGTGGTTCAGAGCCCTGGGGCTGTTTAAGGTATTGCTGGAGCCCTTGGGCAGGTGAAGCAAGGTGCCTCTGAGAAATTGCTGACGATAGATGGCCTGAGACAAAGCGTCTGCTGCCGTTTGCTTAAGGCGACTGCTCCAGGGCTGTGTTGCGTGAGGCATGCTGGCAGCCGTTCTGCTGTTATTCTAACAATCCTAATGCAGACCAAAAAAATCTATGTTTTATTACACAAAGGAGAAACTTAATCCATTAATAAACAGCCTGGAGCAAATCATTTCCCCAGGAATGAATTTTTCATGAGAAGAAATAGGTCTCTGAACAAGTTCTCACATGACAACAAGTCAACTGCCAGCCCCGAGCATAAGCATATATATATATATATATGTACATGCTTTGCGTTTTTCAGGGTCTGTGGACTTTATTGTCCTCTTGACAATGGTATTCATTTGTGAAGATCATTTTGTGTGTGGCAGTTCAATTCCCCAAGCCACAACTGCTAATAAGCTTTGTGCAGTGCTGGGAAAAAAGGCTAGCAAAGTACTTTCTCTCTCCAGACTCTAAAGGGAACGGAAACCTAGAGCTGGGATCAGGCCCTTTCATAAAGAGGAAATTATCATTCATATAAAAAAAACTACACCAATTATGTCAAAAAACCGTCTGTACCATTTTTCCTCCTTCGTTTTTCGGCACGAAATCTTTCACCGGTACCCTAATTTGCCTTGAAATCGCAAACACGTCAAGTTAATTTAACAACGTACTCTTGTGTTTTTCTTTCTGGAGCGAATCATTTAACTTGAACATTCCTTTGTGCAAGAAATTAAAGTATCGATTTGCCTGTTCAAATAAATACTTTCTGAAATGTTTAATGGCTCCAGGGAGTTTGCAGCATTTACACAACCAGACACCGCCATCTGTTCTCAACCAGGGATGCACCTCACTCTCCTCTACATCATTTGTTTAATATCAACATATGAGACATACCGGGAATTATAATGGTGATCATCATCATCGCCGTTGCGCCCAGACATGACTGTTGAGATTCAGAAGTGCAAGAAAAAGGGCTGCTTTGTTCGTCGCCTGATCCATGCTCATAATAACCAGGCCGAACAATGCAGTGGGAGACATCCCTGTTTACAAGGTGACTACAGAGTCCAACAGAGTTTGCAAAAGCAAGTGAATGACCTCATCATACAGCCATGCACAGCAGCCAGTCTGTGGGGTTTCCAGTGTTGGAGAGTTGTTGGGGTGTCGACACCCGCCCATGCAGCCACTCCCCCCCTGCAGGGAGCCACCCTGGGACAGGGAGGCAGTTAGGTAGGGCACCGCTGCAGCCTCAACACCTGCTGAGATCCACAGATTTATAGAGCCCAGTGTGTCCACAAAAAGCAGCTGGAAGTTCCGATCCCCTCCATCTGACACAACAACACATACTGCCTATGTCCACCTCCACCCTTTCTCTCTCCCAGCACAGTTATTTCCCACTCTGACTTTTGCGAACATACATATATTTTTTGTGACTTCCTATCAGAGAGAGGTTTTTGGCCTAGCGTTTTGTTGGTTGGTTTCCATTTTGCTGCTTTAGTCATAATGTGCTCAAATGTTTCCTTTAATTAGTCCTTAAATTAAATCCGCAGCCAGAGCCAAAAGGTCTGTGGATAAATAAAATCATTTCATCACGGATATTGCAGGAGTACAGAAGTGCTGGTGGAACTAAAAAGAAAGCACAACCCAAATATTTTTCACACTTTATCATGCTAATGGCCTTGTTGGCAGTAGGTTTGACTGTAAAAACTGATTAATTGAATTTATGTTTTCAAGTAAATCTCTGGTTAAAAAAACACAATAGGATCCATTATTTGCACTGGGCTTTTTTTTTTACGTGTACCTGGTCAAGTGCCTCGTTTCAAAACATGTGCTAACTATTGTACTGAAAAAGCAATAAACATTCAAAAACAAGGCAGGAGCCAGAAGTGCATGAGACACTCCAGAAGTGTTGTTTGGTGTTCCCAGGCAAAGACCATTCACTCAGAGACTTTGCCCCAAAAACTCAGGGAGACCTGGCCAGGCATGATGCCAGGGAGTGGACCCCCGGCCTGAACTGTCCCCAGGCACGGCCCTGTAAAAACACAGCATGGCTCTTTTTGATCAAGGTGGTACAGGCTTGGTGAGGGGCCTCAGCATCTGCGCCATTAGAACTGTGAAATTCCTGACATTCACACTCAGCCACAGGTTTGGAGCCATGCAGCATAACTCTTCAGCCTCAATCTCACAATTAAAAACCACATTCCACTTTATTTGGGGAATAAAAAAAACGTGTTTACTGACCTTAGCCAAGTCTGGACATCATCACATGTGATACCGTGGTTTCTCTCCAAACCCCCCCACGCCCCTCCCCCCACACACACACACATACTTTAGAGGAACTCAAGGGACCTCAGGTAGTCTATTGCTATCAGAGCATGTTGTCCTGTCTCTGGCTCTCATCGCTGCTCTCCTTCTTGCATAAGCTGAAGCACAGACTGTCATTTTGAAAGGGATTTTCAGACTGAAACATGCCTCAAGCTATGAGAGGGGTTGTTTAAGGTGCAGACAAACTGTGGAATCCACATTATTAGCCGTGATTGCCACGGCATTGCCGGTTAGAAATCATTTATTTCTGTTTGAAGCAGATTTTCCAGGTAATCCAGGACTTAAGTCTCAAAGTTGCCTCCAAGCCTACCTAGGTGGGTCCAATCATCCTAAATTCCTTTCTTCTAGATTGTAATTGTTTGCAGTAGGGATGCACTGATATGGGAATTATGGACCGACATTGAATATTTTTCATGGACGTATCTGCCAATATCTATACATATAGAAGTTACCATATAGAGGTGACCATATGTCCTCTTTTTCCAGGACGTCCTTTTTTAGACCAAAAAATGCATTTCTAAATTGCCCAAAATGTCCTGGATATGGCTTTACTTTCATGTTGACATTTGCTTTCTACAGCCTGCCCTGCTGTAATAAATGACAATACATGACAATGAATATGTCATCAAATAGTCAAACATCTGTCCAATGTTGATAGTCTTTTTAAAGCTGATAATGATGTGAATCTGAGATCATTGTGCATCCTTTGTTTGTGAAACACTTGTTGATTGCAAACTGGAAACTTCTGTACATAAAACTGCTGACACTGTTCAGAGCTGGAATGCTTTGTTTGATCACTGCGGCTGAAATATCAACCCTTTTGAAAGTAAAGTAAGCCTTCAACTGGGTTCACAGTTGCTGTGTGGGCCGTGCATGTGGTTAACCGTTGCCATTCTAGTTGCTACAAGCAGCCCCGTCTTCTATGTCAAACCCCTGTCCTCTTATGCTCACACATTACGTCATTGTTTGGTGCTCATTTGCGCTCCATTGTTTCACCAGCTTTTAATAAACCAAAGGGCAGATTCCTGTGGGGGCCAAATAGCCTCCCCTCCTCGTTCTCCCCCTGGAACCCATCTGCACCCAAGCAGCATGCCAGTCCTGAGCAGGGGGACTGCCACCATGCTTTGATGCCACCAACCCGCGCCTCCCTTACACCACGGCTAAGCCCCACACTAAATATATCCCCCGCGATAAAGATAAGACAAACAGTGCGGATTTGAGCGCGGCCTACGACCAATGGCAGCAGACCCTGTGAGCCCACGTTAAGCTAATGTTAGCATTACAATTTAGGCTTCATAGAACAGAGCACGTTCTAAGAAGACAGTAAAGCATAAAAGGCCCTGGGTATGCTGCACAGTCCCAAGGCACGTGTTTGGCAATTAGGACACTTACTGAGACATCCTCTTAACCTTCCCCGTCTAATTTGACTACTCTCTTTACTTTCTGGAAGCAGCCCAGGACATTCCTTCATCTTTTTTTCAAGAAGTAGCATAGAAAAAGTACTGATTATGAGCAACCTACCATGACCACACACACACTGGTGGTAGGTTTTGTCTTAAAATGAGTGAGGCAAGGCATGTGATGCTTCTCCTACACCTCATCCTCCAACTCTATAATAAACAATCCAAGGGCTCATTTGGTGGCATGGCAGGATCCGATGACTGAAGCAGCAGGTCTAGTGTGGAATTAAGCCATGAATGCTCAGTCAGTGAATGCGCTGTCTACGACGACTCGTCTCGGCAGGCGACCCACCACAGAACACACTGCGCCTCTCATTGGACGCACATACCATGAACCTGCCTCGGGCTCAATGCCTGACTCGCTCAGTTCACTAATGACTTGCTGTGTGCAAAATTACTGTCTGCCTGCACTCACGTCAAAGGTGTTTATGCAGATTGAGCAACACTGCTTTATCAAAACCACAGGGCTTTTGACTAAATGCACTGAGAAAAGAAGTGCTTGGAATGTCCTTGATTCAAAGTATCACATGTTACAGTACGATAACACAGTTATTCACAGAAGTAAGTGAAACAAAAGACAGTGATGTTTCATTGCGGTAGGCCCAGTGTGCACATTTGAATCAAGCACATTGAAAGCACTATTATTTATAGTATGACACTGATCATCATGCTTTGGAGGCAGCATTGCAACAACAGTATGTACAACTTCCTCAGGTAATTAGAACAATATGTTACACAACAGATCCATTCTGAAGATCTTCAGTATTTGTCAGTACCAATTGCTGGATATAGGCTGAAACATGAAGCCTAAAGACCAGTAGTTTGCAGCGATTAACCTGGCAGCTCATGCAGAAGCCCTGGGTCACCTTTAGATCCAAGCAGTGGTCTTACCTTCTTTCCAGCTCCTTCCAGCTCTCAATATCCAGCTTCAGCTGCACCTCGCCAGACTGAATTGCTTTTAAACCCCCTTCTCTCACTCTCCCTCGCTCTCTCTCCTTTCTTTCCTCCCTCGTTCCCTCACTCTCCCTCTCACGCTCACTGATTGTGTGAGCTCTGACTCCCTCTCTCTCCCTCTCTCTGTCTCTCTCTCACTCTGCTCCCCCTCCCCTCCTCCGCTTCTGACATTCACACCCCTCATTTTTTTTTATAGAGGAATCAGAAGGAAAAAGGGAAAGGACAGATGATGCACGTCTCAGGATGGTTGTCAGATGTGGAACGTGACACAGCAGTCATATATCACCTCCCAAACACACACACACACACACACACACACACGCACACACACCCTCCAGCTGACACACCGACACGCTCTCGCAAAGCAAATGGGGATTCCAGCCATGGAATGGTTGTAGAATCAGAGAGCAGAGCAAAAGCCCGGCCCTTTTTTACGAGCTTTGGGTTATAAAACTGTTAGCAGAATTAGTTTACTTAAAAACAACTGGTCCCTCAGCCGTATAACCGCAGTGGCTGCAGTCCCCGAGCCCGCAGAAGGGTCACCGTGGGGTTCAGGAGGTGCTTCTCAATTTAATTCAGACCATGTCAGGGTGGAGGGAAAATTTCAGCTTCCCTCTTCTCCTTCTAACACAAAACAAGTGGAGCAAGCATCAAGTGCATTTAATTAACAGCAGGGTTTAAAGGATACTGAAGGTCCACTGCATCAGGCATAACAATGAAGGGCCATGTCTGCTTGCTTTTTAAAGTCTGAGAGGTTCTTGGAGGTTCTTTAGTAAAGAGAATGGTTATATATAGAAATATGACAACTCCAGGAACCATCTGAATGGGTCAGGCTCTTTTAAGGTTAAAAAAGTGTGCCAGTCTAATTATGCTGCTGTTGCCTCCATGAGGTTATGATGGAGAGTTATTATAGTCTCTGTTGCATCTATTATTATTTTAGAATCTCATAATGGGGAACTTGTAGTGTATCCAGTACTGTGCAAATGTCAGAGACCACCCAGTCGAATTAGCCAAGTTATTCAGTTTTCAGCATTAGGCAAAAAAGGAAAATACATATTTAACAGGGCAGCCTTAAAACCTAAATGTAATAGTATTTTTGTATTTGGTGTGTTCAAGCTTTGCCTTTGTTACAACTTCTATCTTTTTCAGGAGACTTGCTTTCAGTTTTTCAATTAAATCTGCAGGAATATTTTTTTCCACACCTCCAAAGTTTAGTCTTAGACATTGGCTGGCATTTTCTGCTTCTCACAATCCAAGTATTCTCAAACACATTCAGTGATGTTGAGGTCTGGGGTGGTCATTGTTCTGAGAACACCAGCAGCTTCTTTGTTTAATTTTACTTTCTCAGTAACAGCTTCTTGACAGCTACACATGCTTTCAGATTCATAGTGTTGAGTTGTCTTCTCACAGTGGAAGGATGGACAGAATCACCTGTGGATTTTTTCAGATCTGAAGCAAAAGTGGAGCTTGATTTTCTCCTCTCTCTCAAAGATAAAGTTTTGGTGGTCTACCAGGTCTTGCATGGTTGCTGTGAGTCCCATTTTCTCTGTATGTTAATAATTTTTTGAACTCCAGTTTTAGAAACCTCTGGGTTTTTTTACTTTCCCCTTTCTTATGAAAGTGGATGATCTTATTTCTTATTATCTTATTTTAAATCCTCACAAATCCTCCTAAAAAATGAATAGCTTGTATTAAATTGTCAGTTTTGAACCTAGTAACCTAGTCTCTGGCATTTTCACAGTACTGTAGTTCTTTAAAAAAAAAATTTAAAAATAAAGTGTAACAAGAAAAGACATGGACCAACATATGAATACTAAAGAAGAGGAGAGATTTCACATTTTTGTATAACCAATAATTCTCTCTGGAATGCCTTACTGGAATGACACGAGGGACAAAAAAGACAGCCTTATAATTAAGATTTTACAAAGAAGGCATAATTGTTGTTTTACATCTCAGACACAGGCAGCATTTGGTAGGATTTTTGGATTTGTTTTCAACTATGATTTTGTCTACATGTTTTCCAATTTAAGATGTCAGTAGTGAGGGGAAAAGGGAGTCATATTAAATTACCACAAATATTGGCACCAGAGGGGAGTGCGTAATCTTTGAATTGAGGTGTGGACTGAATCCAAAAGTGAACTGAGACTCTGTAAGACAAAAATATCTGATAATCAGATTCTTCCCACTTCAGAGGCTGGCTTTTTTTTTCAGGCATTCTTTCAGCAGTTTTCTTTCAGCTATGTGAGGGAAGAAAACTAAACTATAAAAGACCAACTATTCCATCTCGGACCCCAAAAATGTTTAAATATAGACTTGTAAGGGATATGCAAGGATAATGTTCAGCTAAACAAAAATGCTGTGTAGCCCAAGTTGAAATAATCAGTGATTGTTCAGAAACTGGTTTAAAAACTTGAAACCTCAGGGGAAATTAAGGGTGAGCTAGCCTAACTAAGTAGGGCTTAAGAGGTCAAAAGTGTATGAAGCACAATTACCTGCCAGGGTTTCTTTGAACTCTCACCTCCCATCCTCTCACTTTCTAACAGGACGATTTACAATCAGCAGCATAGAGACACTAGCAACACTCTCTATTCAGACCATACAATCACACAACTGCTCCCCATTTTCCAAACATTGTGTCTTATTATACTTCATAAGATTGAGCCATTAAATGGGCAAAGTATTCATAAAACTAATCTCCACAAAATAACTCCCACTGTGGTGTGGTTAAGACACTGTCTCCTTTCATGGAGAATGGGGCTGACACAATATTTCAACAGCTCCTCACTCACTGAGCATCACTGTAAAATGGTTTTTGCAGAGGCTTCCTCACAAAGTTGTCTTTCTCCAGCAGAATCCCTTCTATGAAACACGTAGGTGGAGTTCTTAGACTGAGTTGCAGCATAGACCACAACTTTCTCATGGATGTGAAAACTGGTCCTTACCCTATACATTCAAGACTTGGAGCTGGAGAAGTTCAGCTGGTCCATATTTACTTCAGAAAGCTGTCCGATCTGTGGTGGCAGATGCATTTGTAGATTGTGGGGGAACTCTAGAACATGCTGAACATTACACTGCTATCAGAACCTTGTTACAAATGCTAAATCCGAGCAGAAGTAATTTAGGAAAGTGAGAGAAGACAAAGCAACTTGTGAGGCTGTCTGAGGTTAAGTCAGGTGGGTGACCATGTCAGGTTCAGCCATACATCTTACCCCCAGACCTCCTAGCTCTGCCTTTGATGAAAGAGATAAACCCATCTGCAGTATTGCCTTCTATCGGTTGAAGCTAGCTTTCATGTTCCTCTAACCCGCAACAGAAGGGGGCCTTTGAGGTTTTGCCTAGCCAGTTTCCCAGGTGAAGAACAGCACAGGCAAATTGAGACTGATGGGCTCAAGTCACATTCTGTCTTCATTTGAGTGATCAGTTTCAAGCCTCGTTTCAAAAAGGAAAGGTCTTTTAATTTTCTGTGATTTATATGCAAACAGTGAATGCAGAAAAAAAAAGCCTCGACGTCTTCCAGAATGACCTCCGTCGGGAATGCCAAGTTGCATGAAAGTGGTCCCACCGCTCTAATTTACAGCCAGTATAGAATAACGTTTCTTCAATTTACCATCTAAAATAATGTTCAGGTTGCTTCCAGCCAAAGACAACCGCTCATTGATGAGTGTACCAGGTATGGAAGGAGAGCGCCAGGAAACACATCTCTCAGAACAAGTGCTCCTACTATTTCACAGAGAAAATAAATGCACATGTGAACACCAGGTCTGAAGTGGTGCAAATTCAGACTGTATTAAGGAGGGATGCACCGATACAACTTGTTCCTTTTTTGATACTGATACCTGATTGTTAAGTATCTGTTGATCCCAAGAACCGATACCAGTACTAACTCTATCTAACCTAACTACTCGATAGCTGCCTATAAATACTGAAATTTATAACATTTAAATATTTCATTTTGGTAAAAGTAGTGTTCTGTGTCACAAACGATGCAAAAGTTTTTAAAAAGTTTGTTTGAGCCATTTAGAGGTGGACTTGTGCTTTGGATCATTGTCCTGCTTCATAATCCAACTGCGCTCAAGCTTTACATCACAAACTGAAGTGTACTGAACTGAACTGAACTGAAAAATTCTGATAGAAGAATGTCCACTTTTCTGATAAAGAGCAGAATTCATGGTTCTATCAATTATGACAAGTTGTCCAGGTCCTGCAGAAGCAAAGCAGCCCCAGACCATCACACTACCACCACCATGTTTAACCGTTGGTATAATGCTCTTATGGTGGAATGCTGTGTTAGCTTAACACCAGATGTAATGAAACCCATGTGTTCCGAAAAGGTCTACATTTGACTCATCAGTCCACAGAATACTATCCCAAAAGTCTTGAGGGTCATCTAGATGTTTTTGGCACATGTGAAATGAGCCTTTGTGTTCTTTTTGCCTTTCTTACTGTGGAATCATGTACATTGACCTCGGCCACTCCTGAGAAGGTTCACCACTGTTCCAAATTTTCTCTATTTGTGGATAATAATGGCTCTCACTGTGGTTCACTGGAGTCCCAGAGCCTTAGCAATGGCTTTGTAACCTTTTCCAGACTGGTACACTCTTAAAAATATGGTTCTTCAAGGGTTCTCTAGTCAAAAAAAGGTTCTATATAGTACCATGAACACTCAAAGAAACCTTTACATTATGAACGGGTTCTTCAGACTCATGAAGAATGTGCTGCAGATGGTTCTATATAGAACCTTTTTGAAAAGAGTTCTTTATAGCACCAAAAAAGGGTTCCACTATTGTTACAAGCCAAAGAACCATTTGGTACTATACAACACCCTTTTTGCTAAATGCGTAGGTTTCAGTGTCTTTGTTCCGCATCTGTATTTGAATCTCGCATCTGTATTTGAATCAGAACGTGGCATCATGTACTGTTTTTGAGATCTTCTAGGCTGATTCACATTGCCTGACAGGTTCTTTTTAAGTGATGTTTAGATTTAACAGGTCTCGCGGTAATCATGCCTGGGTGTGGCTAGTGACATTGAACCCAATAGTAAATTGAATTTCTATATACATATATATCTATATAGGTATCAATATATGTCACAAATTCTAGTTATTTGCATGTAACATACTGCAAAAAATATTGAAAATGTGTATTTATTCTTACTTAGACAATGGACAAAATATCATTTGATATAATCTGATTCCTGCTCCAGGTCACAAGACCACAGCACTGTCTGATGTAGCTGACCGACAAAGGTGCACTGCAGGCAGGGTTAGTGGACACAGAAGCAGCTAGAGCTGCTCTACTATGCTAAAGGCTAATCCTAGGCTAAAGGCTGTTGCTACCCCAGGAGACCAACATTTCCTTTCGTTTGTCCCCTAATGTTTGCTCCCTCAATCCAAAACCTGGACTAACATTAACTCAGACTGTAACTGACTACACAGCGAGAAATGAGCGACTGCTGAAAGATGCCTGACTCAGCCATTTAGATAAAAGGACTAATGTTAGCCCTTATTAATGGCATACCAGTATAAAAGTTATGCCAAAACTAAAAGCTTAGGAGGAATTTCAACCAGTATATCACCAACTACCATTGCCTCCCTTTGCAATATTGGTATTACAGATTTTCCAGTGAGCATTTTTTACTGCTGCTTGTCTCTAATGTAAAATAATCCAACACAGTTAAACTCTGTCTGCTCGCGTACATGCGTTACTCAATAGTACATGTGCACATCAGAAATTGTTTCATGTTATACTGATAGTGCATTTAAGTGCAGGTATCTGTGCCAATACGGATACAGTATTAGAAAAAACACAAGCATTAGGCCATATATGAAGTGAAACAAACCAACTCTTTGAAAAGTGATCTGTAGAGGGTGTGAAAGGCAAAAGTTTTGTGTGTCAAACACCATCAGCAAACTGATAAAAGAAAAGCCTAGAAAGGCTTCATTCCATACTATGCCAGTACAATTCCCTGAACAACTTCAGAGGTATCTCTCTGTCGCTGTTCAAGATGAAAAAAGCACGCACAATCGATTTTCCAGTACTGCATAGCTCTGATGTCAGTAATATGATTCATTAAGGATTTTTTTTCAATAAAATGAAATTTTCCATTATATTTCCAGTAGCTGGGGCAGTAGATGTCCTGAAATCTTCCATCCTTAGTTGCCTTTTGCAAACTGACCTCAACTATGGAGAGTTCTTCTAGTGCATTGACAGAATGACAGACTATTTAGGACATTTATAGACTATAAAAATAAAAATATAATTTACTGACTATAAAAGCAAAAATATAAAAGGTGGAAATTTTATGAGAAGTGGTTAAGGCAGTTGTTAAAAGGGCACACAGTACTGCCTGAATATCTCATACTTAAGTAAAGATACAGTCACATATGATTTATGTATCATGAGAGACAAAGATATGACGACAGGACAGAAGACATCTTGAAATCATTTTATAATCTTGTATTATCAGGAACAATCTGTAAAACCATTATGGTTCCTTTGGGGAAAATGGTCCAAAAACTGGCCTTTTTATTATTCAGCCACAGTATTTCAGCTTCATGCCCTGCATGCATTCCTTTGTAAGCATGTATCAATAATGCAGCTATGAAATGTCCATCTAATTGGCAATCACTTGAGCCCGCACATTTGTTATCTTTTCCTGTGTGGAAACCTTAAGAGACTCAAGAGACTGAGCTAAATGGCAATTAAATCAGAGCCAGGCATTAAAAATCACAACAGAAACAAGCCAATGGAAGTATTCCATCTGAAAATGAAATACCGTGTATCATGCAAAGAAAACAATTTAGATCCTCTCGGGTAATGCAGTTCATATTTAGAAACTCCAGCCTCGAGCAAGTGGACGATTTGTCTTTTATATTGTTAATATTCAGGAAATCAAAAGACCTAAGGAAAATCTTTTTTGCAGTAAACAATGGCCGGTGGTAACTCCGTGCCATGAAAGCGGTCAGGCTGTAGGAGCAAATGAAATCTTATGGAATTAAGAAAAGGTAATGTTTATTTATTTGATGCAGAGTTTACTGTGCTGCATACTGCATGCTGCATTTGGGTTATAGGGGTCAACAAGTCCATTATTTTCCTGTTATATAACATAATAAATACATATGTATCATGTTATTCTATAATACCTCCTTTCTGTAAAATTCTTGCTGGGAACTTTGCAATGTCAAAACATGTCAGATGGCCTGACTCTTCTATCATATATGCAGTTTAAGTAAACTATTAAAAAGTGTAATGTATTTATATAAAATTCTAAATAAAATAGGGATGATTTTACATTTGAAACCTTTAAAATCACAAACATTGCAAAATATGGGAGGTTTAAAACTATTTAAAGCTCTCATCTGATTTCCTCAAATGGCACATGGCACAACCAAGAATAAACAACTTTTATTTTGCCATGCTTTTAAGAAAAAGCGGGCAGGGTATTGCATCATAAAGAAGACCCTCATAGTGCAATGCCAAGGTCAGTAACCCTTTCACAAATACTGATAAAAATCTGTCCTTTTAAGTCACAGTTAGGCTTGTTCAGTTTACCAGGTCAGGTGGTGCGAAACGTGTTAATAATGTTTATTCATTTGATACAATATGTGTGTATAAACTTAAGTTTAGGCACAAAAGTGCATACAGGTGTCCAAGTACAAAGACTAATTTATCCATGTTTTCAGGAGTGGCAAATAAATTTAAAATATAATATTTGTTTTTAATGTTTGGTTACACCACTTGACATTTTCTGGGTGGTAAAATAGACGATTCTGTTTATAAATGACCTTATATCATTACAAAAGCTATAAATATCAACACATTGAAAGATTCTTGCAGATACACATTCTTTTTAATAATTTAAAAGTTTATGGTGATTTAGAAAGCCTTATTTGTCAAAGACCCATAGAACACAAGCTGAATTTTATAGAGTGAATGCTTGAAAAGAAGGCTCAGTAATACTGGTGGTGTAATCTGCTCCTCCAGTCTGGTGTGAGGATCAGGCCTTGATTACTGGGATTCTGATTACAGAACATTCAACCTGCTCAGTCTTGCAGTGTTTTTATATACAGTCAAGTGATTGCATCATTTCAGATTACAGTGTGGACTGTTTGGAGCAAAAGATGGAGACCACTAGCATTTACAGTTCAGTTCAGATGAAGAAGATGCTCCATCATATACTGATAGGGAGCCTTTGTGGGTTTGTGAGACACTGTGAGTGTGAATTAGAGTGCTTCATCACAGCTTTGCGGTCTGTAGAGTGGCTGGCTATTCTGGCACAGTTTCCATGATGTCTCATTATACAAGTTTTTTTTTTCCATTCTTTGCAGCATACTGTGGGCCTATATATGAAACATGTTTTGGTTTAACTGCGTATCTTTTACTGAGTCTTGTTTGGCCTTTGGGCCCATAAGGCATGTCCAATAGAGTTCTCATTCCTGCATGATTTTGATTTATGTGTGCGTCGATTAAAAGCTACATATACAGCCTCACAGAACAAACGGCACAAACTGAGTGTGATAGACATATGAATTTATTTGAAACATTTTCTCGTTTGTGAAAATACATACAGCACCATGTTCTCTTGAGTTCATGTTGTGTCATGTCGGAGAGAGAGGCGATCTCCATACCTCTCAGCTGAAATTACTGTTGCCAACACAGCCAAAGACATTGTCCAGTAACAAAGAGTAGTTGACGGTTATTACTGCAGGGCGCACAGCTTCTCCATTCCAGTCTACATCAAACTGCAAATAACAGCAGGACAGAGTTTGAACAGTTCAGCATTGTACATGTGCTGGGGTTGACCGAACATACATTCTTGCTTGTGCTTCTGCCGTAGTCAATACTTATCAGTTCATTAATAACTGCAGCATGTCTTTAGCATGCGTTTGACTACCACAGATCAACATTTAGACTTGTTTCACTGTACTCGAGCACCTGCCTGTCGACTTGACCATATTAGAAACTCCAGGTCTAAGCTGGATTTCCCTATGACAAAAATTTATCACTGCTGTGGTTAACAAAAAGGTTTTAAACCAGATACGTTTTGTCCACTGAATGTCACTGAAGTCAAAAACTGAACAGCCGTGCTGAATAGAGTTATGGAATAAGTGAAATTTAGGAGGAGGGCCATGCGTGAAACCCCTCCTTCTTCCAATCTTTAAATTCCCATCCCCACCTTCCGTTTCCTGTGACGAAGTTTACGCAATCCCCACCACCACCCCATCTTCTCCTTGTTCCTCAGTCCTACTACAGCTAAAAATGGGCGGTCCGGCCTTCTAGCTCCAAGCAGAAGCCGCCCAGAACTCCAGCCCAAGTACTCAGGGTTCTCTCCCCTCCTTCGATCAGTCTTCCCTCATACTACCAGCATGTGCTGAAGGCACAGTCCAAACTCGCAGATAGTAAACTACCTCTACTGTACATTGAAATTACATTGCATGAAGGTAAGTCCAGTTGAACTTCAACACTATTATATAACAACAGCAACTACTCCTTGTGTACTCTACTACTGCCGAAACAACACTTTAAAAAAGCTTGCTGGTTTGTTTGGGGTATTCTGTGTGGTCGCCTGTCATATGATGTCAATTCAGTGTACAGCTATGTTAGCTTACATGAGAGAAAGCTCATATTTTGACTCCTTAACGACCTCATAAATCAGAGGATCCAGTGACATTCAGAGGAAAAACATATCAGGCTCAGAACCACTTTGTTAACCACAGGGCGTGATAGCAGTGATTTACTGTTTATTGAATAGGCGAAAAAACTGTGGTTTGCTTTAATTCACATAGTCTCTTTTTGAAATATTGTGCACAATATGCTTTGGGAGGGACAACATGCAAAATTCATGTTACATCACAATACTTGAGCATATTTTCATGATGAACAATGTTTTGCAATATATATTTTTATGAGACTTAAGAAGGAACCGACACAATGCATCTCTACTGGCACATTTTAAAACTGCTATCAAAAACTATGAATACAATGATTTTTATTCAATTTTACATAGAACACTCCATTAAATCCAATTAAACAGGACTAATAACTTGGATTAATTTTTTTTTTCTCAAATGTTGCTCTTTAATGGCTCAGGGAACTTAACGGTGATTCTTTTAAAATTCTGTAAGGAACAGCATTAGACAAGGAGACATGAGATACTTCTGGCCCACATTAAAATTATAATAGTTATTCACAGCATCAAAACTGAGAGGCTCTTAGTCTTGGATGACTTGGATGAGCGCACTGTATGACTTTTTTGAGATCTCTACTAAAAGAAATGTGAGATTACTGGGGTCTTTTGCTCAGGAGAAACATTGGATCAGCAGGAGACTCCTTTCTCTTACTATCTGATCTCATCACTGTCTGGAAGAAACTACAGAGATATTAAGAAGATATCTTTTTTTTCATTTTTCTTTCCATGCATGCTCTCTTTGTAAGGAAACACGTCATATTGCCCACCGCTTGTATGCATAAATGTTCACAAGTGAGAGATATGACAGGTTTCCTGATAACACACAAAAAAGTCAGCAATAATATTTCTTAGCAAATATTTTACCGTATGATTAAGAAGTGACAAAGAGAAATGATAGTCACTGAAATTACTGCAGGGTGCAGACATGTGGTTAGCTAAGCTTAAGCACAACAAAGGAATGGCAGTAAAATGAAAAAAGCCCATCAGGTCAGTTTTCTTCAAACGATGTCCTCCAGCAGCATGGCATGATGACGATGAAGATGATGTCACTCCTCTTCTGCATATCTGGAGAGTTCTTTCATAAAGGCGGAGTATTCCACCATTGTGTGGCCTTCTAGTTTAGGCTTAGGAAGCGCAAGACAAAAAGGCTGGAAACCAGTGACAGTCACAGTCAGAAAGCTGCATGGAAGTAACCAAAGTATATGCAAAGCAAAGCAAACGTAAAGGGCAGGTCTGCTGTAATGCACTACTACGATAAGAATTCTGATGTAGAGGACAAATGAGCGTTACGTCATATCAACAAAGAACTTACTTCCAGGTGGATAACGCTGGTAGCACTGCATTGATACAACAGGATTTCTGGATTTTCTACCATTATTTAACCAAGGTATTTAAAAAAAGGGGACATTTTTAGTGATCTTGTCATGAAACATCCAAATACTCAGGTAGTGTGTACATATTTGTTATTATTCTGGCAAACTATGCGCTCCTAATGTCATCATTGTTGATACAGTCAATCCTGTGTGCTTCTATTTTAAACTGATCTTCTCACTATGACAACAATTACCAGGACTGGGTGTGGGTTACACATTTTCATTGCAGTGTTTAGTGACAAAACTTGACCTTATAAGTAGCCTTTATTTTATCTGTTATGATAAAAGCTCCAACCTTACAACGCATTCACTGTCAGCCAGTGGGTTTCATATTACTTTCAGCGGCTCTATCAGTTTTTGAAGGTTGGACAATGGGCAAAAAATTAAAACCAGAACCTGTATGTTCTTGGGTGCATGTGTTACCTTTTCTGATCCTGTTTCCTCTTAAAAGTCTCAGAGCCAGGGCTAGCTGTACTGAGGTAAAAGCCACTTTTGCATGCTTTTTTTTTACTGCAGTAAAAGCATAGAGGAGCTCCAAAGCATGGTAGCATTATTTGCGGTTCCATGCACTGAAATTAAACTTAATATAAGATAAGGAGAACTGGGAGAGCCATGGAGTGGATAAAGCAGAAAGCAAAATGTCTATATTCTTAACAGACTTTTTCCATTTATCCCTCTTGGATGCCCTCTCTCAGCAGTAACGGGAAAATTGGGCATTCTCGTACTTCTTGAAAGCACATGGAGCCATTTCCCCAAAACGCACTGGAAATGCAACAATATTTTACTATTATTCACAATATTTTAGTTCCATCTGTTCTGTTTGTATTCACTACTACTTAAAATAAGCTGCTTTTACTGCTGACTGGATGTGAGTTATCCACCCGGAAGTCCAGCCAACGTTCATGTTCACAAACACTCTGGTCTGGTCTACGGCCTGCACTCCTGATTGAGACAAAACAAGCAACACATTCAGAAGCACCATCTGCTGGTGAAAGCAGGTCCTATACTCTCTCTATTCTCCTCTCATTGAACGCTGAGGCAGATGGTTCTGCTTAGGCCGTTATGTGGCAGGGCACGCTAAATTAAAGTGCTGCAATAAAGGGACTACTTTTGAGCAGATCTTGAGTGGGTTTTTCTCAAGGCTGATTTAAATGAGGTGAGGCTTGGAGGTGCTTGAATACTCTGCGGTAGGGTGAGGGCCAAGACCTGGAACTCTGCCACCTGGCCCACTTTTCCAAACACGCTCTCTTTCTCAGCTCCATGCATGTGTGTGGTTGTGTCTGCTAACAATGGCAGACAAAGCCTGAAAGGAGGCACTGGATGTGGCCAACAGAATGTATTAATTAAAGACTTTCTTCTTGTTTATAAAGTCATCCTAATCCTAGCTTCTCATGTTCCTTCAGCTGCATTAAGCAAAGCACTAACTGATGATGACAAACATGTTGACTCACCTTCAAGGCATCATCTGGTAGAAGAGGTAGGGAAGGATTCTCTCTCCAGTTGATCCCTGAGAGAAAGGCGTTGTAATCCATTTTCCCAGACTTGTTCTCAAATCTGGACGGATAAACGTTTCAATACATTCAGGAATAAAAGAGCAAGTAAACAAACACTCAATTTAATAGTAAAAGAACTCACTTCTGCAGAAGGGCTCTCAGAAGGTCATCAGCCAGTGGCAGGCGGAAGGCTTTACAGATGATCCTAGCTTCTTTGGTGGAAAGGTGCCCAGTTCTTTAACATAATAAGGGATGAGAGACAAATATAACATAAGATCAAGGATCAAGAATCAAGGATATCTTTATTACCCCTGAGGGGCAATTTGTTGTACAGTCAGCAGTATCCACTCAAAAGCATCAGACAAACAATAATAAATAAAATAAACAGTAAATCCAACATAAGAACCCCACTGGGTTAAAGTAAAGAGCCAGGGGACAGTACGAACAACATAAGAATCATGTTGAGTTATTTAAAAGGCCAATAGCGGCCGGTACAAATGAGTTCTTAAGTCTGTTTGTTCTGCATGTTGGCAAACTGCATCTGCGGCCAGACGGAAGCAGTTTTGTTTTTACAGGTATAAACATACTAATTAATTTATTCAGTGTTTGTTTAAGTACGTACTTTAGTTATTTGTGAAGCTACAGTTATATTTCCATAGTCTCACAAACAAACTTCTGCCTGTCACATTAGGTTTTGTAGGTTTTGTGGCTCAATGTGAAAAGGGTTATTTGACTGATACGTACAACGACCAACAGACTGGATAAGCACAGGTGACACAAAGTAAAAAAAAAAGTCTTTTAAGCTGCACTATGTAAGATTTAGGGCTTAGAAGACCTCTTTAGTGGAATTATGTAATTGTATGCAACATGTGTAAGAACATTTTATAAAGAGTATTCAAAGAGAAGCTAGTCAAAACATGGTGAAGGGTGTGTCTTTTGAGCATGTGAGTGGATTACTTGACATTGTCATCATATCTTCATCAGTATAATGTCGATTTTGTATTTGGGACCTAAACATTGAGCTGACCCTTCTTTCTGAACCTGTGCATGTGATGTTAATATGGAAAGATCTATGACCTGGTCTGGAAAACTTCCATAAAATCTGACACGACACTTCAGACTTTTAAATTATTATATCAGGCATGACAAGAAGAGTTGCAGCAGCACACAACCACCATATATTTGTGCTCCTGACTCAGTAATGCTACTTTTTTAAGTTCTAACAAGAAAAAACACACATAGCGCTGCTTTAATTACTTTTAAAGACATGATGCTGTGAACTTTCTTCAATTCAGCGTACTGTATCACTGTATGTGAGTAACCACTGCTTGGAAAAGTTTATTTCTTATTAGACTGAAAAAACGATGCGTGGAAGTGCATACACATCGACTTGCACATAGTCAATCAGCATGTATCTGACAAAATAAAAATACTTATGCTCATCTATAGATGATTTGTGTGTATCTGTGGGCAGAGCTGAGACTGAGACTATTTCTGCTATAATGCGTGGAGCACTCTATTACTTGCTGGTGGACATTTAGAAAGATCTGAAAATAACTGGGTTTTCCAGAAAGCCACACAAATGGGGCATGCACATTGACCCACTGGTGTTCTCAGTCATCTATTTTCCTTCTCTGCTACATGCCCCAAGTCTGGAGGGATCATCTGGTTCCAATGCTTCACTTGAACTGCTGGAACTAATCGCAGGTCCTCAATCTGGAGCCGTGGGGGCTGTAGACTGATGCCTGCTCTACCTCAGACTGAGTATTTGTGTTCAACCTGAATGCCTGGGTGACTTTCAGAATACCTGTGCTTGTGCCTTTCAAGAAAGACAGAAATGTCTGCTTATTTCTGCACGAAATACACATTCACATAACAGAGTATGGTTCTGTAACAATGTTATGCCCTAGTGACTACACTGGATGCTGTCGCCGCCATTGAGAAACCTCATAGCTTGATTGATTGACTTGAACAACATTTAAAAACACCAGCTTCCGTGGACAAACAATAACATTTTCTTCATCCTTTATCAAGAGACTGTTACAGAGATCCAAGGTTTACTAGTAACATTTTATAAAACTAGTTCAAAAGTCTGAGTTTGGCGGTAACATAACACTAAAAATCACAGAGAGGCATTATGTGCCATTGCGATGCTTATTTGGTAATATACAATGACAGGCCACTAAAGGTTTTCGTCCTCTTTCAGTGGTCCATGGTTGTTTGACAGTAATAGCACACTCTAAATGAACTACATTTTTTGGTGGAAGAATTGCTTTTTGCAATATTCATATTAGATTACACAATTTATTGTAAATTTGTGTATTTTATCATATTTTATGTTGTTGCCATTTTATAAAAGCAAAAAACCACTTGAGGCTGTGCATTACAGTGATTTTACCACTGATAAGGGGGTTTAAGAAATGACACAAAAAGGGGCTTTTTGCTTTGATTTACCCAAGAAGTGTGATAAAAAATAATAATGAATAACGTCAAATGTGGTCAGGCTTAAGCAAGCCCAGAATCAAGCATCAGGTGAAGCACAGAAGTAACCTGATCTAAATTGAGGTAACCAAAGGTCATGCTCCATCTCCCTGTCATTGAAATAAAACTGAAGTGTGTGACAGGACAGAGACTTTGACACACAGACTGGAAATAACTGGCTCTACCTCTCCCGATCCTCGTGGGTGAAAGCTCGGAGCATGTCTGAGAAGCTCTCAAAGTGTTTCTTCCTCAGGTGGTCCTGGGCCACAGCCAGCATGAAGCCCAAATTCAGCTCAGGCTGTTCCCGTACCGAGTAGGTACGGCCTAACATCATGATCTCATGCTCCGACAGCTGACAGCCCGTATCTGCCAACAGAGACCTGCAGAGACACACAACCACTCAGCTGCTCAATCACACTAAGCAGCCTTTGACATGCAGTCCACCGAGAATGTGCTGTGTTTTCACTTGGGTTTGGGGTGGGGGGATTAAGTGTGATTGGATAAAACTTTTTTTTTTTCTATGTTGGGAATCCAGCATGTGTCTCCCTCTTATAAGTATCATGCTGTTTGCAATCAGTTGATCGTACACGTTCTTCCTTGGCTCCTTACCTGAAGGACTCATAAGGAATGAGGCCGGTGTTGCCTGGGTCGCTTTGTGCTAAGAACCGTTTGATCTCCTTCTGTTTGTCTTCACTGATGGATCTTAACTTGCTCAAAATGGTGCCAATGTTGGCCCTGGGGAACTAGGCAAGAATAATGACCAAAGCACATCTGTGAATGACAGTAATTAAAAGGTATTTTACAGCTGCAAAATTCATTGGCAAAGCCTATCCAACGTTGGATGGCTTCTCGGTAAGCTTTGCAAAACCATAAACAAAATACTAGGTTGTTGGAATAGACTCATTGGAATAGTTCACTGAAAGGCAGAAGAAGAGAAGAGAAGAGAAGAGAAGAGAAGGGAAGGGAAGGGAAGGGAAGAGAAGAGAGACTGATGTTGACACTATGATCAAAACTTAAACTAAGGCTAAGACTGGGTGCTTGACGTACCTCTTCTGCATGCTGCTCCATATAGTTGAAAGCATAATCATCTGCATCCACAAGCTGGAAGGGCTGGTTGCTTATAATAATCTTTGCTCCCACATACAAGTCCTGAGCCTTGTAGTACTCAGACATCTCACTCTTGAAGAGCTCCTGCCCTGGCTTCTTCACCCAGCTTCTCTCCAAGAACTTACCGCCTATCACCCCTTCAGTAGAAATACACATGCTTTTAAATTTGGTTTCAGATACATACACAAAATTATTCTAATACACATATATGGTCAAAGGTATGTGAACACCTCTCCTATATATTGAGTTCAGAAGTTTGAGTGACTTGTATTGCATAACAAGTGGATAGAATTAAGTACATAACCATGCAATCTACTAGACAAACACTAGCAAAGAATGGGTCATTATAAAGGGCTCACTGACTTTAAACATGGCACTGTCATAAGATACTGCCTTTGCCACAAATCAGAAATTTCTGTCCTGCTAGATCTGCCCTGGCCAACTGTAAGTGCATTGCCAACTGCCTCCTGGAGTGGTGTAAAGCACGCTGCCACTGGACTCTGGAGCAGTGATAACGTGTTTTCTAGAGTGATGAATTATGCTTCACTATCTGGCAGTCTGGTAGAGAAATCTGGGGTTGGCAATGCCAGGAGAATGTTACCTAGGAGGGATAATGGTCTGAGGCTGTTTTTCAGGGTTTGGGCTCAGCTTCTTATTTCCAATGAAGGGTAACATTCATGCTACAGCAAACAAAGACATTTTAGACAAATATATACCTTCAACTTTGTGGCAACAGTTTGGGCAAGGTCCTTTCCTGTTCCAGCATGATTAAACTCTTGTGTACAAAGCGAGGTCCATAAAGACACTGTGTTACAAGTTGGGGGTGTAGGAACTCCAGTGGCCTGAACAGAGCCCTGACCTCAACCCCACTGAACACCTCTAAGATGATTTGTGAGCCAGGCTTTCTCTTCCAACATTAGTGTTTGACCTCACAAATGGGAGTGGAGGCTGTTATAGATGCAAAGGGGGATAATTCCATATTAATACTAATTAATAGTTGGAATGGGATGTCTAACAAGCCCATGTGTGTTTGATATATAGGTGTCCACAGACTTTTAGCCATAAAGCATTTTGCTTTTCATCATCGATGGTACATATTAAAATTAAAAGATTCAGAGAATCTGGAGAAATCTCTGTATGCAAGGGACAAGGCCAAAAACCAGTATTTGCTGGATGTGATCTTTGGGCCCTCAGGCAGCACTGCATTAAAAACAGACATGATTCTGCAGTAGAAATCACTGCATGGGCTCAGAAAAACTTCTTGTCTATAAAAACCAGTTTATCACTGCATCCACAATTGCAAGTAAAAACTCTAAAACGCAAAGAAGAAACCATATATAAACAGGATCCAGAAATGCTGCCACCTTCTCTGGGCCCGAGCTCATTTAAAATGGACTGAGGGGAAGTGGAAAAGTGTCCTGTGGTCTGTCTTTTTGGAAATCATGGACACTGTGTCCTCCAGGCTAAAGACCACTCAGCTTGTTATCAGCGCACAGTTCAAAAGCCAGTATTCATGATGGTATAGGGGTGCATTAGTGCACATGGCATGGGTGACTTGCACATCTGTGAAGGCATCATTAATGCTGAACAATATATACATGTTTTGACAACATATGCTGCCATCCAGACAACGTCTTTTTCAGGAAAGGCCATGCTTCTTTCAGCAAGACAATGTCAAACCACATTCTGCATGTATTACAACAGCATTGCTCCATAGTAAAAGAGTCCGGGTGCTAAACTGGCCTGCCTGCAGTCCACACCTGTCACCCGCTGAAAACATTTGGCGCATTATGAAATGAAAAATACGGCAAAGGAGACCCCGAACTGTTGATCAGCTGAAATCCTATATCAAACAAGAATGGGAAAACATTTCACTTTCAAACCTCAGTTCCCAAACACTTACAGAGTGTTGTTAAAAGAAGAGGTGATGAAACACAGTGGTAAACGGGCACATATTTTTCAAAAAACAATAAAATTTCTCTCTTTCAACATTTGATATGTTGTCTTTGTAGTATTTTCCTTTAAAAATATGGTTTACATGATTTGCACATCATTGCATTCTATTTTTATTCACAATCTGCCCAGCGTCCCAACTTTTTTGGAAATGGAGTTGTATATAAAATAACAAAGATTCTTACTACAAGCAAGATTCCAAACTTTTACACAGTCGTGTATACACAGAGGTTATTTTGCATGATGGGTTTAACAGTCATCTTCTGGAGTGTATCTGTTTGAAGATTATCAAGAAAGCAATCCATTTGTGACAAACGAGCAGTTGTTTCCATGGGGAAACATAAAATAACTCTGCACACCTGTGTGTGATGACATAGAGTAGATTAAGTAGCGCACCTGAGTTCCTCTGGGCGGGTTCAAACACTGTTATAGTGTCATCACTAAGGTAGAAGGAAATGATGAAGGTACGGTCCTTGTCAATGGTGTTATCTGTTAGCATTTTGCCAACAAATCGAAGTATATTGCTCTCCAGACCATGCCTGTCATAAAGAGATGAAAAATAAAAGCAGTAGTGTTTTTTAAAGGAACACTCCAGCATTTGTCAACCTGATCTGCCACATCTGTAGCAGTATTGTTAGATATCAAAGACAGTAATTTTCCTCTTTTTGTAGAAAAGAAAAGAAAACTCACTGACTCAAAAGTTTAGCACCTGTCCACTGGCTTCTATTAGAAGTGTTTTGAGCCAATTGGTTTTCTGTTCTTTAGTAAGTACATGGAACGTACGAAGTATTGTCTGTGATAATCAACAGTATACTGTGGAAGCAGCCAGACAGAGATTAGACTTAAATATATTGAAATATATAATTCAACAATTTAATTCACCTTGGTCAGAGAAATCCAGATATAGAAATAACGATTTTGAAAGGGATATCTGGCTAAAAATGGCAAACTGGAGCAATAAGCGACCTTACTCAATGGGCTCCAGCACCAGTTTAGAAATATCTAATGGTAGCCCTATAGCCTCTGATTATTTACGAAAGAGAACAAACTTATCCTCCACCCAGTACTGCACTGTGATGAGCAGCATTCATCCAGCATGGAAAGACACGAGTAAATGAGACAGGGAACTTAAGCCCCTGTCGAGTCTGTCATGTTGTCGGGGGAGGTTGGTATGTTGTTCAGTGTTAATGTGGAACGATACGTTCAGCACGTCCTCAGGGAACATACTGAACACTGAGCCTCTGGTTACCTGTCTTTCTCTATCAGCTTCCTGAAGTCTTTCTGTGGGGGCTTGGGCAGCAGACCCTGGCAGGAGCAGAGTGAATCCTCTTCAGAGCCAAACCCAGTGTAAGGAGGCACCTGTTTGACTGCTTTAGCAGGTGGGGGGGCTTTGTACTGCACGGGGGTGAAGTCCTCTACAAAGCCAAATGGGGAGAAAACAGAAAAAACACAGAAAACATTTGTTTTTATACAATGTCAGGATGTGGGTTCATACATATGTCCTATGTGTATATGTCATCTGTTTACATGTAAAAAGAATTTTCTGTAACATTTTACTTGAACTCTGCATAATAATATTGACATATATCATATACCATCATAAGTTGTCATGATAGGTTTTGTTCAGTACTATAACAGTGCCATATTACCATTACCAGTAATAGTCATGACAGCTTATGTCATATGATCATTTTTGCTAAGAGCAATTCAGTTAGCAGACATTATGACATATATAATTAACAGCAATTAACCCAGTAACCTACACTGTAGGTTACCCATATACTTAGGTTTTCCTACATACACTGTAGTGTTATTTAGAGCAGCACCACAAATAAACCATACTTGGTTCCCTAAAAGTCTTTCCAATGGATAGTTCTATAAATCTTATCTTGATCTGCTGCATCTGTAGCAGATTTTGCATAAGACAATAACTTCAATGCATTTTCTTAGTATTGGAGCAGAAACCTGTTGTCTCAATAACACATTCATAATAGAACAGGATTCAAAATGGTTGATCTTGTGAAAACTTTTAAATAACACTAGATTGAGGTAATCCCAAAGGTGTTGGCTAGTGCTCCATCACTCCAGAGAACACAGTTCTAAATCTTCACACAGCAATGTTTCAACATCTAGTGTTGTTTAAATGGTGTGGGGCCTTTCCAATATGTGGAACATTCTTTAAACTCACAATCGTACATCTAATTTACAAAAAAGGCTATCCATTGAGTGGTTCTTTAGTGGTTCTGTTATGGCATCGCAACAAAAAAACATTTATGGCAGGTTTAAGTGCCTGGAATGTTTTTAAATGATGTAAGCAACCATATGCTACAAATACAGACAGACAGATTAGCGAACTTCGGGCCCATAGTTAGCGAAATATGACATACCCATTTCTGATACATATGTTTAATCATGTGGACACAGCTTATATAATTTCCATAGAAAAGCATTGTCAGTAGATTAGGATGCTCTGGACCAGGCACACATTTGCCTAAGTTCACTATTCCCAACGCCACGCATCGACTAGAGGGATATAAAGCTCCCAGTATTGGGCTGTAGAGCAGTGGAACTGTGTTCACTGGAGTGATGGAGCGCCATCCAATTCCTTTGGGATGACCTCAATAATGCTGTTGTAGCTGAATGCAACCAAATTCTCACAGCAATGTTCCAACATCTAGTGTAATACCCTTGATTTCAGAAGATGTTTGTAATACAAATAGTGTAGAGATAGATAGATAGATAGATAGATAGATAGATACCCATTAAAAGGATCTTTGGAGAACCACACAGGTTTTTTTTTCCCTTTCCAAAAACAAACACACACACATCCATGCACAAGCACAGAAAAAGATGAGAAGATTATTAGCTTTATCCATCCATGTAGATCCAGTCTGTAACCCCTTCACCCCAGAGAAGCAGACAGGTTCTCCTCAGCACTGCATAACACTGCAGCCAGCGGATGCACGCACACCCATATTGTGTTACTGTTAGCATGGAGCTGATTCGCCTCTCAAGTCCAGCCTTTTGAAGATAAAGAGCCCAGGCAGGTCATTGCTCATCTGCTGTCTTCAGACAGGATAGGCTCTAGTTGTAAGTCACTTATTCTCCTTTGGTCTTCTGTGTCATTGAAACACCAGGTAACACCAAAGATATGCACTAGGAATTCAGAGATTAGTGTGGGCAGCACTACTGTTCTATATAGCCCTGAGATTTACAGCCTTTGAGACTTTTTGCCATTTTTTATATGGAGAAAAGCCACACAGCAGAAGAAAAGTTAAAATTAGGTTTTTAGACAGAGGAAGTCTGCTTTCATTTCTAACAATACATCATTAGTGACAGGTTGATGGAAGGGAGCAGTGAAATTTACCCAAAACTAATGTAAGAAACATGATGTAACGGAATAGGAGTAATTTTGATCACCAGTGAATAAAACTCACATATAGACTCAATACTGACATCATGTGGTCAAACTCACAAACACACAAAAATATGACCCAGTGCAGAGCGATCAGTTACAGGACATAGACTGAAGCTCTGTTTGAAATAGCTTGCTTCATACTGTATGCATACTGATTTTGCCCAAAAAAAGTAGTAGTTTGCATTACGTGACCCATATGAATTTCTTCAGCACGCCAAAGATATCCGGATGACATACTGCTCTGACCAAACATTCCAGCATGCGGCCAAAGCTATCTTCGTGGCACACTGCATCCCTTAATGCAACAAGGTCATTTCAGCAGGACGTACCATGGACATAACATCCTGGTGGTCATGTTACCCTGTAGTACTGTAGATGGTACATGATGATAAATGTCAGATACTGGACACTATACTGCAGTGGTCACCAGACCCACTTCTAGACACAGGAGTGGATTTAGTGATTCTGGGGCTCTAGGCAAAAGTCAGGAATGCGGCCCACTGAATGCACATTTTTAAAATACTTGAGTTCCTCAACTCCTGAGGGGCATATACTGCAAAAAATTGTATCTTTTTAAGTGAAATAATCTAATATTTCCCATTTTGCGATGGTTGTGCACCTTATTATAAGATTATTTAGCTTATTTCTAGACATTTTTACTTGCTCTAGGTCATTTTATTAAGTAGAATTATCTCACTATACTGGCAGATACTTTCCTGGTTTCAAGCACATTTCTTGAACAAGCAAAATTATCTGCCAATATAGTGAGACAATTTTACTTAATACAATTACCTTAAACAAGTAGAAAATGTCTAGAAATAAGGTACACGATCTTAAATTAAGCTTGCAACAATCTCAAAAGGGGAAATATTAGATTTATTGACCCTATTTAAGATAATTTCACTTGACAAGATAGCATTTTCGCAGTGTAGTCAATTACACCCCAAAAATGTCTAGGCAAATGAAATACATACATCATCTAAACGGCAAATGAAATCATATAGCTAATATTACCCAGTGTTGTAATAGCATTACAACATATTTACCTTATTTCAGACATTTTTTACTTGTTTTACAAAATTGTATTAAGTGAAAATAAAGATAATACAGCTTGTTTTAAGAAAAATGCTTATATTTATGCGATGAGTAATGAAATCCAATTACATTTTCAAAGTAATAAGTAACGAGTAATGGATTACTTTTTTGAGTAAGTACCCCAAAATTGGAGTTATCCATACTAATATATACATTAACATTACATACAGTCTACTGAGCCTGTGCAGCACTCTGTTCTGACTGAATAAACAAAGTTAGCTCTGGGAGTGAAGTGAAGTGGAGTTTTTGCTTTCTTCCCTCTTTTTGCATTTCTCTGCTGTACTTGGTTGACTATATTTAATTTTTTCCTCACGCAGTTGTGTCATCAAGTAATAACATAGAACAGTCCATTATAAATATGACCAGCAAAGTGAAGCTGCATTGCAATTACTCAAAGTAATCGCTACAAAATAACAGCTATTTCTGAAAAGTATGTATATTTCAGAATAGGTTATGTGCCATAAATACCGACCACATATCTAATCTGATTTTTCATGTGGCCCTTTACTTGGCTGGCTACCTTGGCCCAGTGCAAAGACCACCCTTACTGGAGATCTTCCTTTCCCACAGGTTTCATGTCCAACCCAAATCATTCTGCTAATTGAGGACTTCCCAAGGCTATCATTAGAAGGATGTAATCTAATTTCTATTGGTGTGTTCATTATGAAATGTTGATACAGTGTAAACGGCAGCTAGCATTTTCAAATTGTGTAAAAACAAATTAAAAACAACAATAAGGTATGATATATTGTATATATACTGGTACGGTATGCAGTACACAGTACATAGTATGGGATCTTGAACACAACAGAGTGTAACTGTGGATAATTTTGATTATCTATTCAACTTATCGTCTAGTCTAGATTTGGTACACTGTCCTGTGAAGCTGAGGATGTTTTCCACAGTGTGGGGAGTTACAACTCACCAATGCCATATTTGGAACGATAGTACTCTTTGGTGAAGTTGTCACAGTCACAGATCATCACTCTCCGTCCCCAGACATTAATGACCCCTCCTATGGTCAGGTCACAGTCCTTGTAGAACTCCTCCTGCAAAGCCCCAGTCTGACACATATGCAGGTTCAAGCAAAGAGTGCCCACTCTATTAAGTTTCAAAACAATTCTGCTAATCTTGCTATTATGGTACTAAAGAACAAAATCACTGGCAAATTTAAAAAGCTTCATTTTAGCTCCATTTTATGAGTAAAATGTTGTATTACTCTCTGTACTTACTTTGAGGTTATCCAAAATGTAGCGACCTCCCTGTCCCATCGGTCCAAACACGTTGAGGACAGTGCGGTCTGTAATTTCTCCAGGCTGGCGTTTCGGAGAAGGAGCTTGCTGTTCAGGAGAACCAAGAAAAAAATAACTGCATTCTGTGTTGAAGGACAGGCTGAACAGGGATGATAATTATAATATATATTGAAGGACAAGTCCAATTTCTATACAAGATTATAATTATTTTCTCACTGGGACAGTCACACAAACCTCTCAGATGACATTTAGTGAAAGGCAAAAGAACTTCTGGTTACACAGCATGACAATAGAAGATTTTAAAAAAAGCACTGAAATAACATCAATTCTAACCAAGGTTGTTTCATAATAGATTCAAACTGAAAAGCAACCAGGGAGGAGAACGAAAGTGCTTTAGGGGAGTCAGACGCTCTTTCAGCCCTGTCAGTCCAGATGATCGCATGGCATAGGTGACGGAGAGGCTCAACCAAGCAGAAGACAATTGCTCACCACTTGGTAGAACTGGTAGCATTTCATGGTGATAACAGTGTCTCTCTCATGTGCTCCAGAAAATACAGAACATGTGTTGAGTATATACCCTGTTTCATTCTGCATTTGCATTTCAACAGTCTAATTAGCAGCATCTTCACAGGCATAAATCATATCATGATAAGCATCATGGCTTTCTACGCACCTTTGGAAGTTTACTTCTGTTCAAAAATTTAGGGGCTGCATCTCTGCCAGAGTTTGGATAGACCACTTCTCGGATTTCTACGGTATCATCTGCCAGGAAGTAGTGGAGGATCAGCTCTCTGGGGTCTCCAAACATGCTCTGGGTATCATCCCAGCAGCAATAAAAGCGTAGGACATCACGGTCGTGCTCCAGGAACTGCTTTAAAGTATCCTGCCTCTCATACGGGCGCAATGGCTTCATGCTGTCTTCCAGCTGTGCAGGTAAAGCACACAGGCTTAGAGAACACTGTCGCTATGTTGCCTCTATTTTGCCATCTTTTTTACAGGCAAAGGCCACTTGCTTACCTCCTGTCTAAGCTTTGTATAGGGATCTTCCGGTGCTGCAGCAGAGGGATTGATGCGTACCCCTATTTTCCTCAGGAAGTTGTGGGTGAAAGGGTCACAGTCTGTTATCATAAAGGTCCTGGAGTAGAACACCACCTGCTGGTTGATATTAAAGTGGTGTAAATTGTAAAACTGGTCATCACTGGGAGCTGGGAGAGGAATGCGGTGGCGGCGGATTAGTGTTCCTGCAAGGAGAGAGTTAGAATAGTTTAACCACAAGTGGGTTCCCCTATTAGACAGGCATGAATTAGCTATGCAGCTGACAGGCAACTTGTAGGCTTTACCTTGTGGGATGCCACTGTTCTTCAGCTCTGGCTCCACAACTTGTATGGTGTCATCTTCCAAGTAGAAGTAGATCTTACATTTTCTGATCCTGTATGTTTCCTCTCTACTCTGAGTAATACCTTCTTGGAAGTAAGCATCAAAGCAAAGCACCTAAAGTGAAAGAACAAATGGTGGTGTCTGTACACTTTACAGACTTACAGGTGAACAGATAAATAAGTATTTTCTTTTATGACAAACCTGTTTGTCAAAAGCCACCCATGAAGGTGCACCACTGCCCTCTCCTTTTGGAAACAAAGAGTTCTGAGGCCGGGTCTTCTGGCCCAGGAGCACTTCCCCTCCAATGCCTGGCTTCTCGGCTCCCACCATCAGTGGGACTCCATTTGAGTAATCGAAATGTTGAGACTTGTGAAATTTTTCTTTTCCCAGCTAGAGAACAGACCAGGTTAGGCCTTTAAATATGTACATACATATAAAACCACCTCCTTGTTTCTACACTCTTTGTCCATTTTATCAGCTTCACTTACCATATAGATCCACTTTGTCACAGCCCACAGTCCATCTGTTGCTGTGCATACTTTGTTAGCCCCTTTCGCCCTGTTCTTCAATGGTCAGGACCCTTACAGGACCACCACAGTGCAGGTATTATTTGGGTGGTGGATCATTCTCAGCACTGCAGTGACACTGGCGTGGTGGTGGTGTGTTAGTGTGTGTTGTGCTGGCACGAGTGGATCAGACACAGCCATGCTGCTGGACTAATAGTTCACCAACCAAAAATATCCAGCCAACCGCGTCCTGTGACCACTGATGAAGTACTAGAGGTTGACCAACAAAAACTGTGGAGCAAAAGATGAGCTGCTGTGTCCGACTTTACATCTACAAGATGGACTGACAAGGTAGAGTGGACAGTGAGTGGACACAGTGTTTAAAAACTCTAGCAGCACTGCTGTGTCTGATCCACTCAATAAAACGCCACCACCACATCAGTGTCACTGCAGTGCTGAGAATGATCCACCACCCAAATAATACCTGCTCTGTGGTGGTCCTGACCATCGAAGAACAGGGTAAAAGGGGGCCAACAGAAGGTGTAGAGCAACAAATGGACTGCAGTCTGTAAGTTAATTGTAGAACTACGAAGTGCCTCTATATGGTAAGTGGAGCTGATAAAATGGACGATGAGTGTAACTTAGATACAAGGCGGTTTTAATGTACATTCTTTAGAATTGCACAGCGTTTATAGCTGTTTCAATTAGCAAGATACCTGTTTCAGTCACGAAATATCAAATACAAAAGTCAAGTCAAGTCAAAGACTCAGCTAAAACCTAGCGTGTGACTTGCCACTTCAGTATTACATTAACCCGTAGTGTTGAAGTGATTATTTAGAGGAGCTGGTATGTATGAACTTACGTTTTTGTTGAATGAATTTCCAGGTAACATAGGTAAAGCCATGACTGCAGAGTACGTTAATAAACTTAAACGAGCTGCTGGGACTCCTCGAGCTCGGCTGGCGTTGCTATAGAGACGCTGTGTTTGCAACTTCAGTTGCTAAGAAACACAGGTCACGTGCGGATCAGCTCGCATTTTTTCGAGAAATTTTACAAAAATGACAGTAGTTTCTTCTGCAGACTGCCTTCATCCAGGGGACCTTATGCGCCCCAGTGAAATAAAAAAACAAACAAATAAAATAACGTCCCACCCTTTTGTTTGGGTAAAGTTGATGCCCTTAAATTCCACCTATTTTTCAAAATGCAAGTATAATTCAATCATTGAGATGTAAACAAAGTCATTCCGAGTTGTTTCAAATGAAATAATTGATTGTAGAGAACTTTGCCAACTTAGATTTCTTTCCATTAGTGGTGACGAGCCCCAGGGGACAGGTTATTTATCTACAACGCATAAACTGCCATTTTATTTACTATCCAAAATTGCCAGTGAACCTAAATGTGTCTTCTAAGTTTTCTAAGTGTCCTATCTTGCCTCACAACGCCCTACATGTACCCTTCCGCCATGAAAGGCTTTAAGAAAATGTGTTTTAGGCCTAATCCTTGCCTCAAAACTTTAGTAAAACAATGTCTCACACATAATGCACACATAAAGCATATTCATAATCATATAACATAGTAACTTTCTGTGAGGGAGCTTTAAGACATGCCACTCACTAGAATCTAACAGTGACCTGGACAAGAGAGAGAACAACCATTTGATGTCCTCATAAAAATGGCAACCTACTTGTAGATTAATTTTGTTTAATTTTAACAATAATGTATTTTGCTTGGTTTATAGAGCATTTTTAATAATACTGGACACTTACACCATGTTGAGGCTTACATCTTAACAGTCACGGTTCCCTGTAAGATTTTAGAATTATCAATAATTAATATATCATGTTGGTGGTTATGAAGGATCCCTTTGATGAGGTGCACTATGCAGAAGAGGGACATAAATAGACATCAAGGCTGTCTATGCAGTGTTGATGGAAGCTAACTGCTGAGGTATATTGTCAAGAAACTAGACTTTTTTTTGTGAATCATGGGTGTATAATGTTGTCAATATCTATATGAGGGGGCCAATAATTATTTTGTAGGGCCATGTGCCCCAATGCAATTGCCCCACCTGCTTAACAGTAGCTACACAACTGGCTACATCCAATACACGTACCATTCTTCAGATCTTGGAAGCATTAAAAATCATATCCCAATTTGCATTACTCTTCCTGAACCAGGAAATGCTTTATGAACTGTTACAGTACTGACTGGTCTGTAATTTTCTGTGGTGACTTCAAATATTTAAATATGTCAACATTTATATCTACAAGGCGATGCATAAATAATGTATCTTTAATAGTTACATTGTTACTGTAGATAACAGTACATATGTTACTGTAGGTAAGTTTCAAATTTCCAGCAAAGTAACTGGCACTGTGTACAGTACACACATAAAATACACTGGAAATAAACTACAAGTAGCCACTTATGAAACAACAAACAAAAAAGGCATATGAAGAACTAAAATGTTGCACTGTTTGGCAAAACATAACTGACAGATTCAGCACTTCACAGATTAATACAGGGCTATTACATGACACATATTTCACATGTGACAAATAAACAGCCCTGGGGTTGGCAATCGCAGCTTATTAACCACAACACTGATCAACATAAGCGTAAAACTGATCATATTTGCATTCCAGTTATTGACTTGATAAGTTAATGTTAACTTTATATAATATGTGCCACTTTCTTTCCAGCAGAGAGGCCCAACTCAGTATTTCTCAGCGCTGCCTCAACCACACTAGTGCAAACTTTGTTATAAAACAACCATGTTTTAGTGTTGTGCCCCTGTGATACAGCAACTGAATAAAACAGTGAGTAGAATGCCTCTGGATAGGCAGAGTCCATGTGTACAGCAGATCCATCTGTGATTTAGGATGCCAGGCCCAGCAGAAATCCTCCAACAAATCCACTTGAGACAACAATATTTCTCTTCACAAACTCTGTGGACTGTAGAGTAAAACAACAATCACAATAAGATGCAAGAAAAACAAATAAAAGCACATAACAAATCTGGTGCAGCATGCATCATGGTGAAACTTTTTATTTAAAAATTGAAAAATCATGATCTGTTACCAGTTAAAAGACTGCATGTACCAAAGTAACAGTACACAACTGAAATAATATAATTTTCCTGTCTGCAAAAGACTAATCGTGTGTATCAACAATTGCAACAGAACAAAGATTACAGCTAACATAGGGCCACTTTCATTATATTTTGATGAATTTGTCAAAAGGCTGGAACAAGCTAGGATTTCATAAGCCAACATGAAGACTCATTTTAACCTCTAAAATATTTTTGGAAATATCATGATCACCATTATAAACACTTTAAACATAAACATATTATCTGCAGCTAATTTACTTTTCTCATAATTAAAATCAGTAAAATTTATTATCTGATGCTCCTTTGGACATCCCTATGAATAAATTTAAATAAAATGTACAATGATAATATAGTATAAATAGAATTACTCAGTAGTTTAAAAGCATTTACACATGATCAGTGTTCCTCTTATTTACAAGCTACATCTGTGTGAGCCATGGGTACAACTTAAAGTAATAAATTAATTAGAAGGGGTGTTTGGATTCTTTTGGACATATAGCTTGCTGTAAACTTGATCCTATATGAAACAGTTAATAATCTACCTCTTCAATAAAGGAGTTGAGCTCTGGAGCTGCTTTGTTGGCTTTTTTCTTGAGATGCTTTTTCGCTTTATTGACATCCTTCTTTACTTTCTTCCAGTCGACTTGCACATAGCCACTGTGATTTGCAATCTGAAAATAAACATCACAAGGTTGTTTACTGACTGTTACTGTGACAGACACCTATGAAGCTACTGTATTCCCAAGTCTATGGTGTTTGAATTGTGTGGCATTATACTTACTTGCAACAATAGAAACCCTCCACCTACTGCAGTTGCTGCAATTTTCCCAACCTTCTGAAAGAGATAACCAGCACACCTAGGATACAAATAGTCATATAACTTCATACATTGCACATTATATTGATATAAATGCTTAGTTTCTTTCTGTGTTTTCATACAATAGCGTACTGCCTTTTACACATGACAATGTGGATACTGCTTGAATAGCAGGCATACTGAGAAGAGGCTCTCTATGTTACATTTGAAAGAACGATGCCTGAAAAAACACATCAGAGAAATTGAGTGATCTCTGGGTGCATCTGAAGGTGCACAGAGGTCCATATTTACCAGCCTGTCACGCCACCCATCATGAGCTGCGTCGCTACAGAGTACTTTTCAGCAATGGGACCAGTATTGCTCCCAAAAACTCGACTCCACCACTGATGTCGCCTGGCATAGTCAGTGATGTCCACCACCTCATACAACTCATCCTCACTCTCTGCCTCTGCATACAGACAGAAGAGGAATGTATGACATTTTAGCATCCAAAATCACAAGAGACTTTGTGAGAAACGATGTGCATTACAGAAGCACATAAACCCTTTCATACATGATCATTTATCTGAGGCTTCGTGATGCCTGAACACAAATGATTAGTGACCTGAAGTTTAGACACGTTTCACGGTAGAACAAATGTGAGACATAGAAATATAGAGATGAACGTTACTTTTTTTATATCTAGGCCTACGACTTTGTTGGAAGTCTGTCTGGCTTAGTGTTTTATAGGGAACCAGAAAATTAGGTGTGGCAATGAAGACAAAGAGAAACCTTAACCACTAAAAACCTCTGTGGCACACCCAAAAGGTGCACTTCCTCATTTCCCACTCATGAACGTTTTACTCAGGTGAACCCGTCCTTCACTATCATAAGAGTTAAAAACAATAAATTACATTGTGAAGTACAAGCTTTGGTGAATGGTCCAACAGCATAAGAAGATTGCATGCTACCTTATACAGCTTTAAAGCAAGAAACGCTAAGTAAAAACGAGAAAAAAGAAGACAGTAAGAGACTGCTTCAGGATTTGATCTGAACTGCGTTATATCAATGTTTCGCATCCAGCATCTGCTTGAACCTACACAGCTCAGATGAAGGCTAATGTTAGTAACCGGCAAAGAAAGCTGACTGTTGGATGACGAGCACCATGTCGACTACAGTGACCTAGTGCGTCTTTTTAAACACCACTGTCTGTTGTGACTTAAATGAAATAAGGTCGTGTAGCATCCTTCGAGATGCAATAGGTATAATTAGCTGTTTACCTTCTCCGCGGTCCGCCATTTTACGAGGCTACAGCAGTGTTGACAGTCGGCTCGTCCCTACTGCGCATGCGCAGTTCCCGTGCACTTTCACACCAACGCGACCAGCAGCCCGCCTTTACAAAAATCAGTTTAACTAACCAAAATTTTCGAAAAGACATGTAAAATGTAATGAATTGGGAAAAAAGAAATGTATGATAAACGTGTTTTTGGATGAAATTTGTCTGCACCATATCCCACCATCTAAAGCCTTTAATTTAAACTACTTTTAGTTAGTGCTGTAGCCATCTTGCAATATAACATGGCCTATTTGCATTGTTTTGGAAGTAGGAAAAGAAAAAGCCATGTTCGAAAGTCCACTGTGAAAGTATTTGACCCTCTTGAAAATTCAAATTTTCTGGATTACAACTGATAAATTGACATAATTTTCCAAGCAGCATTTTTAGTGTGCATTCGTGTACACCTAAACTTGCAAATACAGGTTATTTACTCATTACAAAATAAGTAACCAAAATGTGTTAGTTGTCTCCCACACAAAAACACATTAATACAAAGTGTGTTTGTCAAATACATTTGAAAATGTATGAAAATTACCAAAAAGTGTATTTTTGCTTAATTAAGTGTTTTTTAAATAAATTTTGGGATGAAAAAAAGTGTTTGAAATATGCTCACATATATAAGCATTCATGTCCATTTCTTTTCCACATGAGAAGTGATCTTCCCCATTTGTCTTAGCAGATTTGCAGCACATTGTAGTTGGATGACATTTGCAATTTTCAGACAGCACTAGCAGGATTGAAGTCAGGACTGGGCCACTGTTGGACATTGACCTTTTTTGTTTTTGAGCCAATCTGATGTTGCTTTTGACCTTGCGCTTGAGATCATTGTTCTACTGAAAGGTGAATTTTCTCTCAGGCTTCAGTTTCTTGTCAACCAATTTCTCTAAGAGCTAGGGTGCTCAATCCTGGTCCTGGAGATCTATCACCCTGCAGAGTTTAGCTCCAGTCCTATTCTAGACTCTTGATCCAGGTAATGGAGGCATTCAGGGGCATCTGAATATTAGAGCCAGGTTTCTTGGATTTGAGCTCTCCAGAATGGTAGATATCCAGAACCAAGATTAGTGCATTCTGTTTTGCTCTGTTCATTATTCCTTCAATTTTAACAAGATGCCCATCTCTGCTGGTGAAGAACATCCCAGTTATGATTCACTGTAGGGTTAGTAGGGTGGGGTCAGGTAATTTGGGGCAGTTTGAGTGTATTTTGTTTCTCGTTCTGATGGGTATCATTCAAAGCTAGTGCCATTGGTTCTTTAGGCACCATGTTTAATTGGAGGGATATTGTAAAGGTGTGTTTGGTGGTGGTCTCAAAGCAATCCATTAAACCACATAAGAGGGAGAAGGACATGACATTTCTTTTTTGTTTGTTAAGGCAATTATTAATGCCAAATACACAAGTTATTATCATGCTCTGTGAGTGAATTAAGGAGAAAATCTTGATTTACCAGGATGCCAGATTACTTCAGATCCTTCAGGCAATCAAGGTATTTACATCATCTGCATTCTTCATTTGCATATTGTAATACTAGCATTGCAGATATTGTGATGATAATTAACAAATGATATATTGTACAGCTCTACCATCATATAAAAAGTCTCAAAGATATTGTGCATTCTTAAGGATCATGTTGAAGTTCTCAAACCAAACTGACCATTTCTGTCTAATGACATGAAGTATATTTTTGTTCTGAGGGTTCAGATTCAGATATTCTACTGTCAAATGTAAAAGTATACAATGAAGTTTCTTAGTGCCTGTAGACCACCTGCTAAAAGCTCCAGCCAGCTGCAACAGCCAGTTTTTTCTTCAGGTCGATCATAGGCACTATGTCATGTGGCACTAGATGCTATTGATTTCAAGTTGATTTCTGGGGTAGGGTCTTGCTGTTTTATCGATACATACTAGAATTATGGCCTATTGAGATGGAAATGTCCATAAGCACAGATGGCTGTTTTGTGTTCATCCTAAAGGCATGATATTAGGTAGTGCTGAGTCACCCACATCAATCTCACAGCTGTTGCCTGCCAGTGATTACAGCCTTTGCCATCACTAAGACCCATTTGCTATTGATTCCTTATTGTTTGATATCCCATTTTCTGCTTTTTTCTGCTTTTCCTTTCATCCAATACAGACTGTGTACTTGTGCATTGCATGAATCCAGAGTGCTGCAAAAATGTTGTGTGATGAGAACCCACTATTATATAAAATAACATTATAAGTACCTTAAGTACCTTAACTTATCATAAGAGAGTTTAAAATAGAAAAAATAAATTTTCTTGCTTGAGTTGTGATTCTGTTCAAGATGTGAGAAACATCTTTTATCTGGCACTGTCTTCATGTCTGCAGTTAATCAGATTAGAACGGAGCTGACCACGCTGTAGAATGATGTAGAATATAGTATATATTATATATTGTCACTGTCACTTGTATTTCCAAAAAAAACAAAAACAAAAAAACCAAAGCAAAAAACATTCTTAACTTACAATCGAAGTTAATGTAAAAAATGGACCATGGTCAGTACAAGAACAAATCTTTCAGCTTTCAGCACTCATGGAGACCTGTTTGATGATGCACTTCACTCCTCAGCATTCACATTTGACCCAGAACTACAGACTTCAAATAACTTAAAAGCCAAACTTGTATCTAATGTACATGCAATACATATGAATTCAAAGTTGACCAACAGAGATTTGGTCCAAAAGATGGTGCTGTAGATTTCATTTTTCAGATTTCTTGAAGACCAGTCGATAATACTTTTCCTAGCCAATGAATGCTGTTTAACAGGAAAACACACATCTGAGGAACCATTTCAGCTCAAACCTCCAGCTCAAGCTCTTTTTCAGCTGTTAATGTGGTTTATGCCATTAATGCGAAATGAGAACAAACTGTGACACTTTATTTTTAGAGTTCACTGTATATGCTTTGTAGAAGCTCAGCATGTCTTTAACTAACATCTAACTAAATGTCCATTTAATGAAACTGAACTTTTAAGTTGAATGTTTTTTAAATCTTAACCTTGACCTAACCTTAACTCCAAGCCAAAACCTAATCCTAAACCTAACTCTAACCCTCACACTGTCCATAACCTACTAAAACTTACCAAATAGGTTTTTTTGTAATAATTAGAGCATCTATAGGTAATGTTTAGGGGGCTTAAACTAAAGTGTCACCCAAAACAAACAATGGAAGCCCTATATTAATGTGTAATGAGACAGTAAGAATGTTGTTCTGGTCTTTGTGAAGATGATTATTATAAATTAAAGGATTATATTAGAGAATAAGTGCATTTAACAGAGCTTATAAGCAAAATAGATTAAAAAGCACTATGTGGCCTAAAATATTAACACCCAACATGAAAAACTAGCCTTGAACTTCAGACTGGGAACAGACTAAGACATTCAGTCTTTGAGAGATAAAAAAGGGACAGAAAAACACAAATCTAACATAGTTTTGTATTAATGCAGTGTTTTAATATCAGGTATTATTACAAAAAAAGACTCTTAAAACTTAGGAGGAAGAAAAAAGGGGAGGTGGGGCTCAAACCGTTTATCATAAGCGGAACTGGCAATTGTACCCAGCGCACCTATGTGTGTCTCTGTATACAGTTGAGACTTTTAACTGGCAGCTCTCTTAACCAATGAGAAAGGTCAAGGCGGAACGGCGTAATCACAATACAGCCGCGCGGGCCAATCAGAGCGGGCGAACAGAGAGCGTAAAGTTGAGGGTTTGTTTTTTACCCTCCCCCTTTAAAGTTTATGAAAAAGAGGGATCCCGAGTCAAGGCCGGTCACGTGCCCGCGCACACGAGCAGCCATTGGCCGCAGCGGCAGAGGAGGCGTTCCCAGAGCGACGGCGTGGGTTCGCTTGAGTGACACAATTATAACAAGTTTGAGCTGGAGACTGGGGGCCAAGTTTAACATATCGCCACATTATCACCTCGGCGGAAAAATCAGAGGCGTTGTTGGGCTACATGTCTGCTGCAGTGTCGCTGGAAAACCGAGAGGAATATGTGCAGAGGACAATGTGAAAAGAAGGGCTGTTTTTGAAGGAGAGTCTCTTTTCCTGGCGGATTTGGCATCTTGTTCTTTTGCGTTCGGGATCGGCGCGAAGGTGCCGGCGGCGCTGATACATTAATCTGGCCGAGTTTGTCCGCCGCTCGCCCCGCTTTCTCAATGAAGCCGTGCGCGGTGTCGCTGGCCGCCGCAGCCTGCGCTGCTGGTCCGAGTCTCGGCGCTGCTGGCGATGATGAGGAAAAGAAAATGGCGGCGCGAAAAGCGAGTGAAACCGAAGAGGACTTTCCAAAGCTTACGGAGCAAGAAAGGGAGCGCTTAGCCGGCATTGACAGGTCAGACCAACCCTGCTTTTCAGAGCAGTTCTGGCTGTCTGTTTAGTGAGTTGATCCTATGCAGAAGTCGTAAAAAACCAACGCAGTGCAACTAAATTAACACGGAACCGCCTGTGCGTGTGTGTGTATGTGTGTGTGTTGTCCTCTACTTGCAGCTCACTGTTTGGATTTCAGAGGCTTCATGAAGATGGCGCCAGAACGAAGGCCTTGCTGTTAAAGGTAGCTGAACACACAGTCGGCTCTGAGCTGGCACTCACCGTTTATCACTCCATAGAGAGAGAGAGAGAGAGAGAGAGAGTTAGCAGGAGTTTATCTGGTTTTATGTTTGCGTATGCTGCCCGATTCGTTTAGACAGTACATTCAGGCTTTTTATTTCCTTGCTGTGTCCAGTTTTCTCCGAACTGTACTTTTGTTTCACTGGACCCTGTTTGTAACTAGTTAATGAGCTTTCTGTTAGTTCGGTAACCAGACTTACACTAGTTGACCGTTTACCAGCTAACGTTACAGATGGGATGTGCGAATGTAAGATTTATGACTGCAATTTTAGTCGTTTAAAGGACATGCACGGAACGTTTTTTCTCATCTTTAACTGTCACTGCAATATTGGTACGAGGCTGGTCAGCTTCTTATTCGAATTTTCCAGTTCCACCTTAAATAGTGCAGCCGTGAGACGTTCGTACACGTAACTGCTGCACCATTTAAGGTGGAACGGGAAAATTCGAATAGGAAGCCAGCTCCAGCCTAGTAATATTGATTAGTTAGCTAACATCGGCTCGGCTAAGTTAATTGTGGTGTAACGTTGCTTATAACGTTAATAAGCAAAATATCTAACCAAACCAAATCAGTCTAACGTTAATATATTGTAGGTTTGCTTGCTCTGCCGTTGTTCACAGTCTTGTGCTTGGCTAACTGATATAACGTTAGCCTGGGAACCCTAGCAAAGCTGCCGGACTGTGGGACGGAGATGTGGACACACTGGCTAACCTTACTAACTAACGTTAACTAAACCTAGCTAGCTAGCTGACACACTTTTTCATCCCAGGCATCCTAAATATACCTGTACGTAGTTTGCGAAGTGCTGGCAAAGAATAGAAAGCTAGAAAGTAGCGTTTTCGTGTTGACCATTCAGCTAACTTGCTGGATATTTAGTGTTCGTAGCAGGTGGACCGCTCCCTAAGATAACTAGCCTGCTGTTCATTGGGTTGGGTTTTTGATTTAACGTTAACGTATTAGGTAGTATTATTAGTATTAATAATTAACTTAATCAATTTTCTTAATTAATTAATTAATAACTTTTATGTAAATAATAGTATTATCATTAGGTATTGGGTTGTAGAACTCAGACCTGTGGCATTATTGAAACCATTCGTCTAACAAGGGCTTGGTTGCCAAACCATCATCCTCAACTGTATCACAAACCCTAGTTTGTTTAGTTAGCTGGTCAGTTCTCAAAGGACATGCAGTGTAGTCAGTTCAAATATTATGTAGCTGTAGGTCTTACAGGAAAACAAGAAAACTTTATTATACAGAAATGACCTCTCTTGTCCTCATGTTAACCGTGGCCTAGTTCAGGATCTTGATGTGTGCAAAATTGTAAGATTGGTACTGGTTAATTCTTGTACCCAAGTATATAGTCATAAGTAAATGCTGTAGGATCTGTTGCTGTAATACACCATCATTTTGAGTAAAAGCCAGTTCATTACATGTTTGAGGCAGATCTGAGCGAATCTATAATGTAGTGTTGATATGCTCTTATTGCTCTGAAGTTTTAGCAGTGTTTTAGTGATATGCGTGATAGGTAATGAACATTATATTAGTGACATATTTGTCCATATTTTGCCGACCAGTTGGTTAATTCTATTTTGTGTGCTTTATTAGTGCAGAAAGTATCAACTAGTACTGTATGAAAATATCATGATATTGCTTCAGTGCCTCTGAGAATGACTGAGAAATGTATATTCTGGAGCATTATCAAGCTCGTCAGGGTGTTTTGGAGGAGAATGCTAAACACTCTCACAGTCTTTACTCTGTGACCTTGCAGATGCCAGACTGGCTGCTGTATTGTTGTGTAGCACAAGGCAGAAGTCACAATTGCATTGTAGTTGTAGAGCGCATCCTCAATAGTGTTGTTTTTACATGTGTACTTAAATACTGGGGCGTTCAAGTGGTCCAGTTTGCTAACGGGGCCATGTGTTAGGCCTGCACAGTTGCATCATAACCACACCATTGATGCAAGATAGAGTTCAGACTGTCCAGGACTTTGCCTTGAAGCATTAGATTTTCAGTGAAATTAGATTGAACTTTCAAACCACTAAAATGTTGCAGTGAACCAACCTTGGCCTAAATAAGTTTAAGCTGTTTCCTTTACCATAATGTTGATAATTTGTTAATGTAATATATTTTGTCCATATTGCTCAACTTGCTGTTTTAGATTTTAAGGTTAATGAAGTTTTGCCTCACAGTTGGTCTTGATCAGTTTATTGGTAGAGATACGTTGTAAAGTTCTGGGGTTTCAGTGTGTGCCCTGTTGTATTAGTTAGGGTATATAATTAAAGTAGAATAGCATTATTTGGCTGGGGCATGAAAATAAAATTTAAATGTAATATGACAGATCCTCCCATGACAGTGAAATATGGTAAACCGTTTTTCAAAAACTGTCTGCTAGCAATACTTTTAATGCAGTCAAAAGAATATTCCTGTCCATGAAAACCTGCTCCGGTGTATAACCTGCTTGTTTGTTGTGAGGGAAATATCCATCCACTGGTGCTTTCAGACTGCTTAGGATAAGATCCATATCTCCTTTTGGAAATTGTCTGTATTGCTCTGCTGATGTGCTACGTGGCCACATTAAGGTTAAAGTAGGTTGGAAAGCTCTTCCTGAAAGCAACAGTTATTTGCTGCCTTCAAGTTGCGTCAGAAATAGCATATATACGAGATGGATGCACATGAATGGCACCACAATGTTGTATTTGCTAGTGGGAAACTCTGATTTTTCAATGAGCCCCGAGTTTCCGAGTTGGGGGCGTGTCAACAAAAAAAAAACAGTGATAGCTGCTGTTAAACTGGCCATATTTCAGTTATTCATCAGCCACAGCGTTAACACTGCAGGCTGAAACCATCCACACATGGAAATACATATATAATGTATATACACAGACTGTCTTTAATAACTGGAAAAAAGTAAACCAAAAACATTATTTCCACTTATTTCCAACCAAAACAACTTGAACACAAATCAATTTGTACTTACAACCTCTGAAGGTAAGTAGGAACTTCCGAGGAGGAATTGAAGGCAGCAGTAGTTCTCTTGGTCTTGCAAGCCAGACGTCTGACCATTGTCACAGATTCTGTTGCATTTCATAGCTTAGTGTGACCAAGAACTGCCTACTTTGACAGGACAGGGTCATTTGACTGGCATGCAGAATAACCGACCACAGGCTGTTCTTTTGTGTGATGAGTGGTGGCAGGAGATTTTCAAAAAAAAACAGACCTGTAGAAAGCAAATTGGTATGTGCACCAACAAAAATACGCAAGGACATTTTGCGTAAAAGCTTCAAAAAAAGATCTTGAATAACTTTTCAACTTTCAACCCACTGTTGTCACAGTGTACAGAGCATGCAACTGCTTAGAAACATCTTTCCCGTTGGACTGACAAAACCAACTATATAGACATGAGAGCAGCCAATCAGAATGCGATAGACTAAATCTCGATAATTGAGGCCAGCGTGGCTTGCTATAGATGTCCGACACTCTGTGTAGGTGGCGCTAAGCCTGACAAAAAAAAAATCTAAGGACATTGAACTTACAGGTGTTCACATAACCTTATAATCACAGGTACTTCCGTAATCTATTGAAATACTCTAATTATGTGATCACATAATCTTCTATGGGTAAAAACTAAAGTCCTATTTCCATATTCCTGTTCAGTCCATACTCCAATGAAATCAAATGAAATCGCATTTATTGTCACATCACATTTACACAGGTGCAAAGGTGAGTGAAAATCTTAGGTGCATAGCTCCCTTGTAGTATTTAAATATATAAAACACACATAAGAAATTTTATATATATATATATATATATATATATATACACACACACACACACACACACACACAATATACACGTTAATATAAACCAGTATTGCACCATTCCAATGTACAGTTTTTGCACAGTAATATAAGTTGTGAAATAAAAGCTATGATATGTACAGTTGCAATATGCAATATGTGAGTCTGAGGTAGATAAGTGAGATGCAGGGTACACAGGGGATAGAATATTGATATATAGATATTCCAGATTACAAGATATGAATAGATGTGCAATCACTGTATGATGTATAATCACTCTGTTATGACTTTGATTAATCAGGAGAAGAAAAAACTGCAGTGATTATTCTGTCAGTAGTAAAACATGTTACGTTATACACAATGTGTCATTCCACAAATGAATATTTCATCTTTTGCCCAGAGGTTTTCCACTCATGAAACACTTACCCTAGCTCCTAAAACATATTTGCAAAAAATAAATAAAAGGACTTCTATCAACGGCATAGCAACATATCACCTGCATTTCCTTCAAAAACTCCTCTACTCATTTGTTATGTGCAGACAATAAAGGAACAACACAACCAAATCTTACATGAAAATCCACATAGTATTAACTAGTACAGCTAATTTAACATTTGCTTAACAAACAGGCTACAGGCCCAAACGGTGTCACACACCACAGTACACGTTTGATTCTGACTAACTGACACAAGTTTAGATTCAAGTGACTTGTGCCAGAAAACTAAAATGGGACCTGTTCTGTGGTGGTTGGGACGGTAGTGTTTTGTCCAAGCTAACAGTAGCTTAGTTAGCAGGCCAGATGTGCCACACATCCCAGCACGGGCTTGGTTCCAGCTAACTGATGCTAAAATGACAACCATTTACAGGATATCTAAGAGTGTTAGAGTGAAAGCCAAAGTTGAACATGTATGCAGCTTTTATCCTGCGTTCACATGGCCAAGCGATGTCTTTCCAGGACTTTTGTTTTTAGTGGGATCATATCTGATTTGTGTTTGGCGTCAGTAAACCATTGTAACTAATGGTCAGCTCGAGTTCAGAATTGCCCACAGGTGAGCGACCAGCGATTTGGGAAAGGCGAAAAATCTCTGCCAGTGTGAATACAGGGTTAGCTGTCGCTGAGCGAGTGTCACAGTTAATTTTTCTGGTTTGTCCCGGCTCTGATATTTCCACCCATTGTACCAGCGCCATCTATGTGTGAGCTCCCACACCACTTATAAGTGAGCCCCTCTAAAATGTAAATGGGCGGAATGTGTTTATATAGCTGTTCAGACGTGGAATAGACAGTTGACGCATCATAATTTTCAAATACTGTCATTATTTTTAAATATTGTGGTATAACACTCAACCCTAGACGTATGTCAGCTAGTATTGTTCCCATATTTTAGATTTTTTTGGGTCATGTACTCTGTTCTCTGCCGTTTCTCAGACGAGTGATGTAAATGGAAACAGTGTAAATGTCATTAAACTAACCAAACAAGGTTCATTTTCGTTTTTCACATTAATGGTGTTGATTAGTTATTGCAGCTGTTGTAGTAGCACTTTATGAAATCTGCCTTTCATTAGGAAGATATTCATGAGGCATCACCTCTGTAATGAATGTTTGTTTATTTTCCACACTGTGCACGATTTGCCTAGAAACCAAAAACCTTAGACCAATTTCTCTCCTTTTTAGTCATGGAAGATTAAACTGTGCCTGTGACACAGCATAACCATTTTCATTGCATAAACTGTACTATTATAAAATATTATTCTCATATAAAATTACACACATTATATTAAATGTGATTTGGTCTTAAAGATGGCAGTTTTGCCCAGGATGCCATGAAACACTGTAGAGGGAACAAGTTGACAAGCATTGCATATATAGTGAGCAAACTGAGAGGGGTCAACTGTTTAGGAATGTTCCACTCAAACATGTTTGATCTTTATTAGCTCTACTTTTGTACCCTACCCTAGTGGTTAAATTAATACCACTGGGTCTATAAACAGCCCTCCAAAATTACGACGTGTGCTTGTAAGACAGCTGTGCAATGTTGTTTGGTTGGCCATTGTTTATTTGTGGGAAAATAAGCCAGCTGATTGCAGAGATGACAAGATGCAAGCGTTTCATTGCATGGTGCACTGCCCGTGAAGAAAGGGAAGCTAAAACTGTGAGCTATCTCATGGCAGTCATTACCAGTATCTGTCAAATTTGAAGCAAAGTTATTGTTTTGACATTTCACTTTGAACAGAAGCTCTTCTTTCTTTTTAAACCAGTGCAGTGAACTTCCACACCTATTAGAATTAAACTTAAATGTGAACTAAGCTTAGACTTTGACCATATAGTATGATGACCATGACCATATTGATGACTCATCTATAGAAATCCATTTAGTTGAGGTTTAGGATTAAACCCTAGTCTGGGGAATAAAGCCCAGAAAGTTTAAACCGTTCCTAAATTAGGCAGCTTTAGGAAACTGACCAGCTGCAGGATGCATGATATGAATTCTCAAACTAAACATATCATATTAATTGTTACCGTGTTAATTTATTTCACTTCATTTTTCAGGCCATTCGCTGCTATGATGCCTACATCTTAAAAACTGAAGGAAAAGTCGAACCTGAGGTGTTTTGCCAGTTAGGGCATTTCAACCTTTTGCTAGAAGATTACCCTAAAGGTGAGTCAGGCTTCAGTTTATTTATCCTACTGTTTGGCTTTTATTGTTCTTTTTATTGACAGTCATTATGACTTAAGTACTATTTGGGTGGGATCAGTTTTACATGGGTAAGTGCAGTAATCTAATTTTACCACAGCAGGTCTGTAAAGTTTATGACAGGGATAAGTAATCTTGATATAAATAATAGAGATGGCAGTGGTACTTTAACCTGTTTTTATGCCACTTATGCTTTGAATGAACCAAGTTGTTCCTAATTAATTTTCATTTCTCTTTTTGCTAGCATTATCTGCATACCAGAGGTACTACAGTTTACAGACAGACTACTGGAAGGTAAGAGATGCTTTCCTTACAAATCTATTAAAAGTAGGTGTGGGCGTATGACACAAATATATCATCACAATACTGTTGTGACGACATTTTCACAATATACAATGCCTATTAAATATGTTGAAATTTAGTTTTTGTGAGGTTTGGTCATGTGAAACAGAAATAAGCTTTAGTACAGTCACATAAAAATGCTATCAAAAATTATGAATACAGTGATTTTTATTAGATTTTGCATACTGTGCTGCACTAAATCCACTTAAACAGGACTAATTATGCTCTCTATGTAATGAAACATGCAGTTGTTCACTGTTCTGACTGTACTGACGATATCTACAATGTGCTCAGAAAGGCACGTTGTGATGTAATTTATTGCATTAACAATAAAATCATCTTATTTTCCACCTGTAGTTCAAAGTGGTTCCATTGTGAGTGAAGGTGAATCAGTTTAATGTGTCTTGCCTCTGGGCCTGTCATAGTTATTACATAATCGCCTGATTGCAGTTATTTGAGCAGATTGCAGTTAATTAAACTGCCCATAATTATTTAGGCCGTCAGATTATTTTCCACAGTTATCAGCTCTGTGCGTGTCATATGTTTGTCACAACAATGTGCATGTAATGTTTTCTAATTGGGTTGAGACAAATGCACGTAAATGAAAGAAAGGAGAAAATGGGTTTATAGACCTTTCTCTCAGTCGCTTTCCACCTTTTGAAAGCGCATCTCCGTGTCAAAGCAGCTGCATTCAGACAGCAGAACGTGTTCCGCAAAAATCCTAAAACATATATAGACTAAAGAAACACTTACTGTGCTCCATTTTGGAGGAGAAAAAGTCCAGCCCATGCAACATTCACCAGTTCCCTGAAAACCACAACCAGCACAGAGACACAGTTTAGTATTTCTGCGTTACAGTAAACTAATCACCAAGCTACTGTGGAGGAGTCTTCTGTGATCATACATAAAATGTGGATTGGCTTGGCTGCTTTAGGCCTGTATTTTAATAGTGGCAAATAAATAAGAAAAGACAGAGAAAAATTGTTGATCGCAGATATTTTATATGCCAGTTAATTGTCAGCTAAAATCTCATGATCGTGACAGCCCTAGTTTATACTGTTCATCACAATTTCTTAGCAGTTTGGCAATTAATTGTCAGCTGAAGTTTTATGGTAGTGAGGGGCCTCTTTTAGGTTTGCTTTTGTTCCTGGACCAGATGGAGGATGGTGCTAACTGGAATGTGCTGGGTTGGAACAAGAGTGCTTGTTACTTTAGGGCTTGTGATGGACTCGGACGTTTTTGGGTTTCCAGCTGTAGTTTTTTTTTGCTTATTTTGGTTTGCTGTGCTTGGCTGTGAATCCTCTTTGACAAGCTGAACGCTAGCTGTGATGAAATGCCTCCTGATTTTTGATGGCACAGTCACGTGCAGACCTCTCACTTTCAGTTTGTGCCTTAATGAACTAGAGTAAGGTCCAAAGTGAGATTATTCAGCTGTGCTCGTAAGTGCTGTATGAGCACTACTGAACAATCCCCCGTCCCCCTCAGCAAAGTCAGCTTCTTTGCTATCCATCTACTGAAGATCAGGCTCAGGCTGTCAGTCTTACCTGTTTAATTCGTGCTGCAGTTGTAAACAAACAATATATGTCATCCTTAACAGTAACTCACCCTTGTTGGCTAGCTGGCTAGCATTAACACATTACAACAAGCAAGTAGCCAGGTTTGAATAAAACAGATAAGCCGCTTCCCACTTTATTCATATTTCAGACCACCACTGTCTGCAAAAGTCCACAAAATGTAAAACTGAACTTAATAAGGTCAACCCAATGTCTTCACATTGTGCCAAGTTAGCCAGTTCTCTAACTACAGACTGTTCACGCAATGTTCATCCACTTCCTGTAACCGTCTTTTCAAATTAAAAGCCCTCTGCGGAGTTTTGTAATTGCAGCTTCGTGACATTTGATAAAATTCTAAACCAGCAGTGGCAATAATAAAAAATGTATCTAGCGAAAAACGCTGATGTTACTAGACTTTTGGGGGATGATCCTCCGTTTTGTCTGTTGGCCTAAGACAAGATGACAGAAACTGCTCATAATAGTTTTTCTTTTTAAATATATGTTCTTCACAACTATTTAATTTGCTCTTTGAGTCAGAAAACCCACAGTAGCCACGTTTACATGCAGCCTGATAATCCGTTAATAATCCGACTAATAGCTCAATCGGAATAGAATACATCCATGTAAACATCTCAATAGTCTAGTCCGATTGAGGCCATTCGGAATACAATTTCTGTCCGATTGAACGAGGTGGGTAATCCTGTAAATAATCCGTTAAATAAAAGAATAATAGCCATGTAAACGCCTGTATCGGATTACATTTCCAATCGGAATGTGTAAGTACGTTCTGCGCATGTGCGTCACGTCACATCAAAAGCTCAGAACTCATACCGGCTCTGGCAAAAGTTTACAACGTTCACCATGGCGGAGCAGAAACTGGTCTGCAGAGCAGACGAAGTTTATGTTCTGATCTTTAAAAGACGGCGGTGGGACGGACGTCCAGCTCATGTGTCACAGAACGTGAAGTCTTCCTGTCGACCCTTCTTTAGTAAGTACATGTGAAGTACGTTTTCCTGAGTCTGACATTTTAAATCAGTTAAACTCCAGCGCGCCAACTGGAAACTCATCTCCCTCGGACTGGAGCTCACGTGATGCTCGCTGTCATGGTAACGTTTACACTAAGTGGTACTCCACACATGCGCGTCATTTTGGATCGGATTACTTGTAGTGAGCATATAAACGAAGATTTTCATCGGATTGTTGAGTAGAGTGAGCGTATAAACACCTCAGTCTGAATCTGTAATCGAAATGTATTCAATCGGATTGGCAAAAAAACTTTGCATGTAAACATGGTCAGTGATCGCTTGTGCTGAAGAGGTCAGGAGTCCTGTGTCTGAGCGCAGATTCCTCTGTGTGATTAATGCGGTTGTGCCGAGTGGGTTGAGCCCAGTGCTGTCAGCCTGTCAGTGTGATGCGCCGTGTGCCTGCTCAGCTGGAAACAGCGATGCGTCTCCTGCTTCTCTTACTGTCTGTGCCTTGTTTTCGCTGGGCTGTGAGTTCTCCTCACATTCCCCATTTTAAGGAGCTGTCTTACCACTGAGATACCAGTTACCAGAACTTTGGTAATTGATACTAATATCAGTGAAACTGTACGATTCTCGATGCCTTATTCGGTAGCATGTTTAATATAGAAGTCCCATTCAGCAGAAAGTCAATGTATCATTAAACTACAGAAATGTCAAAACACAAGCAGCTGATATTGAACTCATTACAACTCACGTTGTATATAACAAAATTGTTTAAATGTGAAATTTGTTAAAATTAATTAAAATGTTAGTGCAAAGATGGATATCTATTCACTTGCACATATGCGATGCACGTTTTCCCTCCCGCTCCCACCACCTTGACCAATTATCGAGCAAAAACACCCATTATCACCTCCGTTCCCAGCTGCACGTACGTTTATGTTGGCAGACAACCCCCTTGCTTCTCTTCACTTTGGTCTCTCTTTTTGGACCGCTTGTAAAATAATGAGCTATTTCAACTTGTTTATGTTGTCAACCCGTGTTCATGTTAACAGGAGTGAGGTAGTTCAAATATCTGGCAGTACTTGCCTTGTTTTTAAAGTTTTCTGCCACACTGAAAGGCTGAGAGGGGCATCAGCTGATGATGGAATGACGTGAACAGACACACACATGCAGTTCACCTCTTGCTCAAACATTAGTTTAATTATACTTGTACACAGATTTACTTAGCCTGTCTTCTTTTTTTTCTAAATTCTTTTTCTCTCACTTTTGTGGTGAAAGTGTAAGAAAATCAAGAGCAGCACGGATACTGCTAACAATACTGCTAACCGGCACATTGCCTTATCTGTCCTTAAAAAAGAGAAAAAAACATTGCTCTGTACTGTGTGGCTGTCCTGCCATGAAGCGTGACAACCTTCACACTGCCTACTTGCAATGGGCGAGTGATCAAGAAGCGCCTTGGTAGTGCCATTGTTTCTCTAGCAATGCCAGGTGTTATGTTAGATAGAGTAAGCAATAGTGAAAAAGTATTTTCAATTTTAAATGTTACCTTGACAAGCTACCAACTCTGTGTATCAACCCCCGAGCAGAGAGAAACATGTTTAGAAGATGACGAGCCACTCTCAGAATCTTAATATTTCACCAGTTACAGCTAGTGTTGGTTCAAATGCTAGCACAGATGACGAAAAGCCTCCTTTTAAGCTGACACAAAAATCTACTGATTTAACTCACAGTGGGTAAAATATGTGTGCTACATGTGCTGCATAAAAAAGCCAAGAGAAATATTTTACCCTTTGTGAGAAATGAACACTGTCAGTCAGACTTTGATGTGTATATTCTGTAAGAAACAGTCATAAGGTATTTTTCAGTTTTAAATGTTACCTCGACAAGCTAACATCTGTGCGTATCATCCCCCACAGAATCTAATATTTCACTGGTGCCACTGAAATTTTTAGCTTTATAGCACCAGCACTGGCACTTAAAGTACAAACCTGAAATGGGACAAGATATATTTGAGTGACTGTCTTATACTTAGGGGTTTTCACCCAAATATAGCCTATGTGTGGGGAAACTGTGCATTAAAATAGCAGGTTTCAACAGTTAGAGTCTAGTATCCACCCAGCACACATGCCAGTTGTGCCATGTGGCTGTGGTTTCCAGTCTGTTTAAAACCGCCATGTGATCTGGCATGTGCCAGTTCTGCTGCCCAGAAGTTGACAAAGTTGCATCATGTCATATTACAAATTCCACGTGGGGCATCATGGCAAATTGCGGCATAAAATAGTTACATTTAAATATATTTGAATGCACCAGTGACAATTCACCCTCAAGAAGCACTGCTGCAACAGTTTCTAGTGAGTTTTTTATTATAATTGTTTTCAGGCTGTGCCGTAAGAGCTGGTGTGAATGCCACTGACGCGCCATTTAAATGTGT